AATGAACACCATTTAAATTAACATTTCAACTAGAAACTAAAGTATCCTAACAAAAAAGATAATAGAAACTATGTTGATCATACATTCACTTATTTAAGTAGACTATATAATCTCTTAATAAAAATGTTTGGCTAAATTTTTGGACTTAAACTGTTTAAGATGAAAATGTCAAAATTAGCTGTAACCAATCAAATGTCACAGGTTCTTACACTAACACCATATACACACATATCTATGGACCCTAACATCTTATTATACAAATATATATACATATACTTCAATATATAAGCTTACACCATGCATGTATACATATACAGATACGCATATATGTATACACGACATTTCGTTTTGATTACAAGAAAAAGAAAAAACATTTTATGATATTACTGACGCCTATAGATCGAATCGAGTAAATCATTGAAAGAAAGAAAAAGTAGCCAATTTTTTTTCTGTTTTTTTTTTGTTTTTAGTTTACCTATCAAAAATGTTGCTTACATGTCCTAAAAAGAAAATATCAGAATATAAGGGGATTACGAGGAATCCAACATAAATGAGCTGAATGAATAAGTAGATTGAGAGAGAATAACTGAACAATAAATAATTTATTATTATTTTTGTTTTATGTTTATATCTTTATATTCATTTGATCACATTGTTTATACATGGTGTAATGTTAATTCTGCCATTCGAATCTATGGTATGCGTTTATATACTTCTGTGAATTCGATGTTCATCTTGTTGTGCTAATGAAGTATGGCAACTTCAACCGATGCACATATGTGCCTGGTCCTACGTTGTAGCTAACTGACTGACTGATATATACATAAATAAATGTCTTATTTTTCTGTATATTATTATTTACATATTCATTATATTGATTAGCTTCCTTCGTTTCTTATAAGGAAATATTCTTTTTATTATAAAGGGAATTTAGTTTCCTTTTTTTCCCTGTTCTGTCTCTCTTTTTCTCTCTCTTTGTCTCCATTTGTCTTTTTTTGTCTATGTTTATGAAATTGAAAAAAGGGTTAAGCTTTGAAATATTCGTTTATATATATAACAAGAAGTATATTATTTGATTTGATTATATTCATTTGGAATATGTGTTTATGTTTAAAAATGGTCAATAAACTACTATTAATTATCAGAGAAAAAGTAGTGATTATCTATTAAACTGATTATTGTTTTGATCACAAACTGATCTCAGCTAGACCACTATTTAAAATCTGGAAGGATTGAACGATCGTTTTGTTCTATTATGGGACTAGTTTAAAGTGTATATCAAAGACTCCACAACTGGGAATCGAATCCATGTCCTTCGGTCTCAGACACAAACCCTTGACACTTAACTTCGAGATGAAACTCGTGGAGTTCCAGTGAGGAGATCTGACCAGTGAAGCTCAACCATATTGGATACGAGACAGTTATCTACTCCAAGCAATGGAAGATGATCACAAATTATAGTGAATTGACTCACGTTAGAAATGTGTACCATTGAACCTGAACTCATTGATGTAAAGTAAAAGAGCTCTCGAGAAAGACCAAATGTCACGGGTCGGAATGCTGGAAATGGTGTTATAGTTATGCGCTGCTGAGCGGTTGCAAGAAATTACAAACCAGCTGTTCAGTGCTTCTTGGTTTTTCCATAGATAATCCAGCTAAGATCAGTTCGTGATATAAAGTAAAAAAAATTATACATTCTCCACAATTTACATCCCAATACTTATATTATTTTGATGATGTTTATGAAAACAAAACGGAATGTTTTGTTTTATGAGTACAGATTTCTATGATTACAGACTAGCATTAGATATTGTTATTAAAAATAAGTGAGACTATACTGATAAGTGTTTCATTGAAGTATAAGATTTTTAAACAGTACACAAACGTTCACCTAGATGAGATCAAATCCAAAAATGCAATACTTTATAATGAGAAGTGAAACAAAATTCAATGGTTCGATTCCTTATGATAGTGTAATCACTTATCATGTAATTAACTTCAAAGTTTATTACATGTGATAAGAACTTTATGCTATCGATCACAAACAACACTTGTTAATGATCATAAATTATGATAATTAAACTGATAAAACTCTAGGATTTCGTTATATTCCCAAAGTAGTGTATAACTGATAAAGACAAACCTATAGAAACTAAGATGAAACACCTATCAGATGATTAGTTTCAGTAGGCTTCTAGATAATACTAATTTCTGTACAAATATTTTTAATATATATATATGAAGGGGTTTTGTGGATATTATAGTAATTTTAACAGCTGAAATCATGATCGCCTCAGTGGTCTAGAGGTTAAGCATTCGCGCGTGAGACTAATAGGTTCTAAGTTCGAATCTCGCGAGGCGGGATCGTGGATGTACACTACTGAGGGATCCCACACTAGGACGAAACGGCTGTCCAGTGCTTCCGGGTTTTCCATAATGGTCTAGCTTCAATTGACTCATGATTTCAACTATTAAATTATATATATATATTTTTAAAATATGACCAAACACTTAATCAATAACTGTCTGGCTTTAAAAATGAATTAAAACAAATTAGATCTATACACCAAAATCATAGAGTTAATACAGGGTAGTGTTTACTGCTTCCATCATTTATGTATAAGAATTTAATCACTAAGATTACTATGTGCCTTATTTACAGACAGGTTTATTTTTAAACAGATGGACTGTTAATTTTAGGACAGTTAGTAAACAACAGTGTATATTATAGATACCGGTAGAAAAATAGTAATAATAATCTTGTCCACCTGTTAGAGAAGTTCTATTCAGTAGTCATTTAACTGAATGAACAATTTTCTGATTTAATCCAACGAATAAAATGGGAGATAGTAGCAAAAAAACAGATTAATTTTGAATGAACTATATGATTGATTTAGGTATTACAAACGAGTAACTCATTTTGATATTTGTGAATAGTATTTTTTGGCCCTATATCTGACTTTAGTTTGGTCGTATGTTGATTATTATTGAAATAAACATATTGCTAATCCTCGTCAATGATCATCAACTTAATTCGCCTTGGTGAGTAACGGAATTAAATAAATACGAAAATGGATTTTCGAATACGTATATTTCGTACAATCGTTGATCAGAATAGACGATCAGAGAGATGGAGCGAAGGAAGCGCAGAGGAGAGAGTGAAGAGAAACGGATTAGAGAAGGCATGTTAGCCAACTCAATTTAATCAAGTGTTACTCAATATTTATAGTCAGACAAAAAATAAGTTAAAGAGATATGATGAGTAAGATAGGAAATACTCACACGTACGCTTACATGAAAACAAAGTTGATAAGCCAATAATTAACAAATTTAAAATGTGACTCAAGAAGAACGAACTAATTAGTTCGTCCGAAAGCTAGAATAAGTTATGTGGGCTTGACATCGCACTTGACACTACAAGCAATGACAGAAAGAAAAAAACAAATGTTGTTACTTAGATACATTAAATATGAAAACTACTGAAAACCAAGGAGAACTAGGATGCTGTTTCGCTGTAGTATCCTTACACTACAGCATTACTTACATATAATTGTATGTTGGATATCTTATGTGATACGATGATTGTTGGTGGTCTAGCTTCAGTTGACTCATGAACTCAACTATTAAATCATATGATCAATATAATTGATTTATTCAACTTTCAATGTCTTATTACTTATTATTAGTGGCCTTATTCAATATTATATTTTTAGTGCAATATAGAGTTCTCAGCACAAATTATTTCAGCGAGTTTCCGTTTCTTATTTCTTGATCAATATTGACCATAATTGATGAGCGATCTCTAGTTAGATATTAGCATTTCAGAAATCGACATCTGAATAATGTTCATTCTTTTCGATGCATATTACCAGCAATCACGATATCTCTAATTGTTCTGTTTTGTAAGTTGTACAAACAAAGGTGGTAAACATGTCCCAAACACACCTGAATAGGTTATGTAATTAATCAACATAATAATGTGTTAAAATAAACAAGGAAACATATTACTTGTTGAAATATCCAGATAGGGGTAGTTCAGATATTCAAGCACGTCACCTTACTCTTTATTTGATTAATATAGAGCATCTCAACAAATAGTTGTGTTATAACTAGATACTTATATTCTTGATATGCCGCGTTTAACTTGAGCACTTGAACTTTAGAACCCCTTCAGTGCGCAAATGAGAAGATAGAAGACCAGTGAAAGGAATGCTATTCTAGACAGTGTCGACGACAACCCTAATCAAAGATACACTCATTTATATATTGATTGTACACCCATTTCGATTACTAATTAGAATGAAATCACATATATGAAAAATACTTTGAGTTATAACAAATCACATTCTAAGCATAGTTCATGTCAATCGAATACACGAATATCTTATCAAGTTGATAAATAGAACTTAGTTGACTAAAGTTAATGTCTACCATGGATGGGAAAAAACTAGGGCAACATTGAACGATAATGTTATTGCATAACAGAAAATTTAATGACTGATTATATCATATCAGTAATATGTACTTATTTCAATAGTTAAGATCATGAGTCATTTGGAGCTAGACCATCATGGAAAACCTGGAAGCACTGGATGGCTGTTTCGTCCCAATGTGAGACTCCTCAACAGTGCACATCCATGATCCCGTCTCGCACCCAGGACCTATCAATCTCGCGCGCCAGCGCTTAACCATTAGACCACTGAGCCGGCATCCAACGATGGCAATGTCTAACTTCAAATGATCCACGAAATTGAGCGACACTTCCGCCATTGTCTTCAGTGAGTTACTATCTCACAAAAGACCAGTTGAACTCCATTAGTCACTTTTCCCATTAGAACTCCAGGAAACACCTCTTGAAGCCAGTCACTAGTGAGTAAATGTTGATTAATATCAGAAAGGGTTTTTATGGATATTATTAGTAATTTCAATAGTTGAGATCATGAGTCAATTGATCTAAATTAATTATTCAATTAATCATATTCTTTTTAATAATTATACAGATACTATCGATTTGTTACAACTTGTTGAAATTGATAAATTGGATAGTTATGAAATTACACGTCAATATGGATTTTGTCCTTCATCATTCATAGAAAATCCAAATACTGCTTATTCATATCATCGAGGAGATAAATTAAAGTTACCATCAGAGAAAGCATTCCCAAGTAAGTGGGTTGTTTATGGTTGTTATTGTCTTTTTTTTAAATTTCATTTAACTTAATTTTTGATAAATGTATGATTTTACAAAGAGAAATACTTTATATCTCTGTCAGAAATAAAATAAATATATATGATTTAGTGACGAATTATATTTCTTAGTTAAATCTTGAGAAGTCTTTTTCAGTTGTTTCCAGTTCTTGATCATCCTTTTCATGTCTGCTTCCAATTATCGACATAGTCTGTACTTTGGTCTTCCATTTCTTCATTTTCCTCCAGGATTTCAAGTTAGGGTTTGCTTCATGATATATTCTGAGGATTTCCTAGTGTATGTTCTATCCGGTTCCAGCGTCTTTTCCTAATTCCCTCTTCAGCTGGAAGCTGGTTTGTTCTCTCCCACAGTAGGCTGTTGCTAATGGTGTCCGGTCAACGGACATTGAGTATCTAACTTAGATAGTCGTTTATGAATACTTGTACCTTATGGATTATGGTTGTAGTAGTTCTAAAGGTTTTAGGTTCGCACAGTTAAACTGTCGTAATTTTCGAATTGAAAATTTTGACTTTGATGTTGACCGACAGTTGTTTTGATTTCCATATATTTTTCAACTGTGACAATGCTGCACATCTACATCTGATCCTCTTTGTTTATTAATGATGCTACGCAACTGTATCTGCTAAGTTATATCTAACTTTTATTCGGGAAAGATGATACACTGAGCTGGTCAGAAGTTAGCTATTAGTAAGTGAATGTAGTTGGTCATGAAATGACTTTAATTTCTAAAAGATTAGACATACGCGATATATATGGTAAAAACTGAAAACCATACAGTAAATACTTCATTTGCAAATCCTCCATCAACTGAACCAATCATTTCTTCGATTCCATACAAATCACTCTTTGTTCTCCTTCTCTTCTCTTTTATCTTCTTAACTTTCTACCACTAAACACCCCACTTAGATTGGCGATACATACTACTTATATCAATATCAGTAGCACACACCACATTTTACTGTTTATTAATATTTAAATATCAATTCATCAGACATTATTGCAGATATATTCATTCAGAATGATTAAGATTGTAGGTTGGATAAAAGAACGTGGTAGGTAAAATTCGTGCTTTAAAACGAAATATGCAGAACTTTGAAAGACTTTAATGAATTCTTTTTTTTAGTTTTAACGTAGTGATTTTGTAAACTATGGAAATCATACATTGAATGTAACATTTGCATATCTTCTTATGAATTGTCTTTTACATACTTCATCATTCTTCCGATCATGTTGTTATTTGATTTCTCTTAATATTCGTACCTCTTTTCTTTATTTCACTCCTTTGCTGATAATAATCCTACTTGCAATTCCTACTACTTACTACTTATATCTGTCCGTACAAGTAGTGCACACCACATACTTACATTTGAATTGTAGAAGATATAATGAGATGTAGTGACTAGGTGAATTATTGAAACATGATGGAAATGAAATGTATAACACTAAATTAATCTTCTGATGATTCACGATACATCTTTTTTTTTTTAAAAAAATATCTGAATATCCGATCGCTGTTTCATATTATTATTAGAACCATTGACCAATATGGCATATAACTAAGTAAGTATTACTAATTTAAGGAATCACCTTTTATTCTATTTAAGGTAACATATTCTTAGAAAGTTACTTTTCTCTGTCATTTACTGTTAACTAAAGATTAATTTTGTTACGATTTGCAGTTAGACCTGAAAATTCTAGTCAATATTGTAATTCACATATACAAATACACACAAAAAGAACATAGATCATATTGTTGTATTACTGATATATGCGCATATAAGGTGAATCTTTACATGATCAGCAGTACAAAAATGTGTAGTATATTAGAAAGTTTTAACACTGGTCATGAAAATCATATACATAAATTCCCAAAAGGCTTATAATGACTCATCAGAACTTGATGCCAAATTATTGAATACTAAGTTTAATAATATAAGTTGAGTATTACGTTATTACTGACATCCTGCTCACGAACTAAGACTTCACCTTCGTAATGTTGGTAAATGATTTTTAGAGAGAAATAATAATACTAGTGGGATTCGAACCAACACAACAAACAATATAATTTTAAAAACTGATTGATTACTAAGTAATTAGTGGTCTCATGTTGTCTAGCCTAGCGACTTAAGTCACTCATAGTAATGATCAAATTGCAAATTGACCCATAGAATTAATTATTTTAGCATCAAGAGCTAGACAACACGATATCGGTTACCATCATATAAGACTTAACAGATATTTTAAAATTCAGAAATATGTTTAACTATACCAAGGTTTAATCAATAGAGTTGTTTTATTCCGGTTTATTATTAGTTTTCAATTACAAAATCTGATCTTGAAGATCTGTCGTTGGATTAGATAACGTAAACTTTAAGTTCATTCTAATACTACCAAAGGTATTTGTAATCAAGCCCTTCAAAATTATGTAACAAAGCACTAGACGACAATTAAATTGAAATTCCTCAGCTCATTTCCAAATAATATAGTATTGAGGATATTTATCGTTTACGAGGCTATACGGAGTAACGCGCTCAAATACATGAAACGAATCAATAAAATAATCTAACACCATTTCAAAGGTTACTAAATTCTGATAACAGTAATATAAGGTACAACTAAAATAATAATGTGACGACCTCCAACTGTGACTTCTGTAGTCATGAAATTGGGTGATTTCACTAAGTTTCAGATCTTTCAACGCAACTAGCCAAAGTAAATAGCTAATAAGAGGATTACGAATAAAAAAACAGAGTAAACAGATTTATACATTCCGATCACAATGTATTAAACATCATCATTGTCTAGAACCTTCTTATAAGAGTTTAGAGTAAATAATCAATAGGATAATCAAACTAATGTACGGAATATGAAGTGTCAGTATATTTTGTATGAATCGTAAAGAATGTATAAAGAAGTATTAACGACTTACATGTTTCAATAAGATTGTATAAGGGAAATATGGTGAGCCGGTAAGTGGTCGGAGCATATTCAACAATTAAATGGTCTACTATAAGTGGAAAAATCTAATCTATACTATAGAAATAAACACATCTATTCAACTGAAGTATTACCCTGTTTTCTCTTGGCCATTTTCTTTACTATTAAGAAAAAAACATTAAAATTAATGTCTTTATCATACCGTACCATTTAATTTTTAATGTAGCTATATTTCCTCAGGACTTTTCTATTCTTGCTACTGTACGATTGAAGCATGAACAAATTCAAAAGATATTTGATGTCACAGATGAAAAAGGACAAAGTCAATTAGCTATGTCAGTTGGAAATAATATTGTTTTGCATTATCATTTATCTGAAGATTCACCATCCACAGTGGAATTTTTAAATGTCAAACTGAATGATCTAAGGTAAGTGTGTTTTATTGAATTACTTATATATAATAGTTGAGATCATGAGTCGATTGAAGCTAGATCACCATGAAAAACATGGAAACGATTCCGCCGTGGAATTCGAATCCAGGGCTTATCGGATGTGCATTGCTGAGTAGTCCAACAGTATGACGAAATGGTCGTCCATTTCTTCCAGGTTTTTCATGGTGGTTTAACTTCAATTGATTCATGAACTCAACTATTAAATTACTATAATATCCACAAAAACCCCTTCTGATTATATACATATGATTTACAATAATGAAGTATTACTCACCGAGTGGATATGTTACGTAATAATCATATGACGACATATCGATTATAAACTAACATTAGGCAATTGGAAGGAAGAGAATTATAATAATCAAAGCAATTATTCAGAAATCAAGCAGTTTTTACGTTGCATAATGTAGGAAAAAGAAGGAACTAACAAAAATATTTTGATGAATGGTCAGCAGTATAGTAGTTATGTAAGAATCAAGACACGAATGTTGAGAATAAGTAAAATCCAAAAAGTGGGAGAAATCTAAAAACAAATTATCACTGTCCTGCTGCAAACTCCTTTTACAGATGGCCAAAGTAGCGAGAGTGGTTGTACAGACTTCTTTTGGATGCAAAGGTATGGACTGTGAACATTTTAGCATGGTAAGCAATCATCCAATCAAATATGTGGCATGTGACTCTGAACTTTCAAGATGCTTGTGAGAAACTGCTACTCAACATTGATTGGGTAAAATGTTCCCCAACGTCTTTGGAGCCCCTCCTGGCTTTTTTCGAGAGACATTTGGGGTCTCCTTAACACCCTGTATTTCGTACGACATATTATGCTTCGTCTGGTTAAGTTTGATGTAACAATATTCTTTACCTATTACTTATTGTATCAATATGATCTAATCAATTTCAACAAAGATTTCCAGACGTTTCATCTATTCACCTGTGGTTATTTCTTCTTTACAAAAATAGGTTTTTTGCCTCTCTGTATGTCATTTGTAGTATTATTGTACATAATGAAATTAAACATTGGAAAAGTCTTTGAGAAAAACATACTAATGGATCGGAAATCCACTATACCATTTTTAGCACTGTGATCACTTATGATAGATTATCAATTATCAACTTATAAGAAATCAAAATGCACAAAGTCCACATTGAAGTCGGATCACTTAAGAGATTGTCGAACAAATAGTCTAAATGTAATTGGCATATTATGAAATTCTATTCTATTTGAGTGATCACAAAAGCTTTAAACGAAAAGAACTAGTACATCGACTCACAAATTTTACATCCTTATTTAGCTACAAAACATCATCGAATTAAACTACCTATCGATAAAAATGTCACTATTATAGTGATACTATTTAGAAGGAAAAAGACTTTCAAACGTTGTAAAGAATTGAATTCAACAATTGGCTTGACAAATGAGTTCAATATTAAACATAAGAAAAGTAAATAACTGATAATAGATGATATGAAGAGGTAATCAGAAGTGGGAAAAGATCAATCAATAGCAATCAAAGGTGACCCAAAGTTCAAGTGTATTTTATTGGGGTGAATGATTCAATTTCCTAAGAATAGAGTTGCATACATACATGAATGAGTATTTCCTCATTTCATTCGGTAGTCGAATACACTTTCTCGCTCAATCTTTTGTTCTCGTTCATGCAATAAGTTTGCGGGGGGGGGGGTTAGCGCATAGCGTACCGTGTATCAGTATCAAATTTTCAACACCGCACATCACAACAAATGAGTTTTTCAATCGGTTTTCAGGGGGATAATGTTATGTAACTGAACTGGTAGATTGTTACATTCAATTAAACTCTCATTGGATTTCAAGAAGGAGATTTAAATTTGGTTAACTTCAATTCTCTCAACTTCTTTTTTTTTCTAGAAGAAAGTGAGGTTGGTTTTGTCTACACATGTGCATAAACTATTCATTAATTTTTAAAATAAGGGTATAATCCTTTTTCAAATGAATTAAAGTTAACTGTGTACTTTCAAAAGCCATAAGTGTGACACTTGACAAGTTGTTACTTATAGGTCGAAAGGTACTGTTGAGGCTTTATATTACTAACTTGATTTATACACTTCAGGTTAATTTGTGATATGGGTGATGGATAATCCTAAGTGTTGATTAATCAGCAAGATGTGTTATTTTAACGACTTATTTACTCATTGAATAGTAAGGAATATGAAGACTTCAAGTTCACTGTTAGCGTTGGACATGTTCAACCTTACAATTTAGTAACACTGTAAGGATAATCGAATTTGATCATAATCAATCATGATGTCATTTCTCAAATAAAACCTTAAAATAACTTTTAATTCTTGATTTCAATTTTCGATTTCTAGATGGCATAGAATTGCATTGAGTATTAAAGGTGATTCAGTCACATTAATTATTGACTGTAAAGTTATTACATCAAAATTGTTGAATCGTACATTAACTGAAAATCTGAAATTTAATAAAGGAATGCTATATGTTCTACAAGATAAAGCAGGATCAGTCAGTTTTTCTGTAAGTAGTTTGATTGATTTAAAATGGATTTAGTAATTTTTTCTAGTTAACTCTTTTTAAATGAAATCCCATTTTTTTATTGAGATCATGGATCGATCAGTGTTAAACCATGATTTAAAACCTAGAAGTATTGGATGGCCGTGTCGTCCTAGTATGGTACTTCTCGGCGGAACGAATTCACGATCCCACACGCGGGATTTCAACCGAGGATCATCGTTGTCGCACTCGTGAAAAAACATTTCATTTCTCAGTTTCAGTTTGGAAAGGACAGGAGGCTTAGTGGTCTGTGTTAGTCCTGGCAATAGTGGTCCCTCAGTTGATCCAACTTTCTTTTGAAAGAGTCGACGGATGGAGCCTCAACCATGTGTTGAGGTAATGAATTCCACTCGTTGATGATTCGATGGGAAAGTCGATAGTCAGCTGACAAGTAATTTGTTCTGGGCTTGTGAACGTTTTGGAGTGTCCTCGTAAATTGAAGGTCTGTAAGGAAAATATTAGGATAATAAGATGTTCATGTTAATACTAATGTGCAGTACATGATTTGCTGACGTTTACTTACCTACTATGTAAGTAATATATGAAAATAACTAATTGCTTGTTAAATCATTGTCTGAAAAATAGTTTTCATTTTAAATAATTTACAAATGTTATTTAGTGATGACAGTTGTGCTGGAATTCCAAGCAACCATTTATTGCATAATGAGCATACATCTAATAATGAATAATTTCAAAATGAATCCCCTGGATTTCTAATAATAAGATATAATTTGTAGATTTAAGCAAACTACTCTCAACAACAATAATAACAGTGAATAAGATTTCTATAGTTCATTTATAGGCATAAAAAAAATCTGAAAGGTCCTAGAGGTCTTGAATTTGATCCATCATGGAGTATCTAAGAATTCGACAAAGAGTTTTAACTTAAAACAAAACAGTTATTCAAGGCTCTTTTACTTCAATAAACAATATCTGTTCATAATGAAATAACTTTACTGTAAATAATAAAGTTTTAATTTTTCTTAATTATTTTTTTAGGGTGCAATCGAACAATTATTGATTATTCCAACACCAAGTGGAGCATACGATCAATGTACTATTTATTCTCCATGTAATGAATCAGATAAAACTGGTGATGAGATGCAACTTCAAGAACCAGTAAGTGGGTGAGATAGATTTCTTATGACTTGTGTCTTAGTTGTAAATTTTTTATTTAACATTTAGAAATAGGAAAGAGTTAGATAGAGTAAGTTTCATTGAGTGTTGTAAATGATGTAGATACCTAAATTGAAAGTTTAACAACAAAGTATTCAACTTCTTAAATATAAAACTTCAATATTCCTTTCAGTATTTCATAGCTTTTTTCTTTCATGTATACTCATTCAGTTTCATCATACCTTGGAATCTAGTTATTGCACATTTCACAGGTTAAATATATATGTACTCAGGACATTAATTCCAAATAATAACAGCATCGATCTATCAATACAGTTGTACATAGTATGTATGTATCAGTGGTTATTTTTATAGAGTATTGTGGTGATTATCATTGTAAATTGGTAGAATTTACAAATATAATACATTTGTTGATAACTCAGTAGTGTGAAATTTCGGCACTTGCCGTGAAGTCTGAAGGTCCCCACCTTCATTTATGATAGAGTCGTGTATTAGCACTCCTGAAGAGTCATAACCTAGGATGAAACATCTGTTTAGTGATTTCTAGTTTCGAGTCAGACATCGGTCCAATAAGTAAATTTTCAAATTATCAACAAAACAATATCATTTTTCATTCATCTTTGTTTCAATTAAGATCTGATTACATAACAAAGTAAATAATCTGCTTAATGTAATCTACTTTAATAATCTCACTACTGTCAATCGATAAAATCATAAAAGGTTATAGAAACAGCAAACCACAAACAATTGCTTTGATTGTCCTACATTTCAGTAAGGAAAATATAATATCATAACATTTGTAAAGGAAGCTTCACTGTGGTATTTATATGAAATCGTTTATGCTGAATGAATTCTATATGGTTATCTATAGATAAACTATCTCCGCCCTGGACTTTATGTCTCTCAGAACTCGATCCCATGTTATGCTGTGAATTCACATTACTTCAGAATTTCAAATAGAAAAGTAATATTAAATAAATCAATAACGACAGTTTTTACAGAATACAATGAATTCATTGTATTTCAATTCATTCCTTTCAACTATCATGGAAAACAAAAGAAAAGGTGTTTTTCATGTTTTCGATTAAGGTATTTCTAGAAGTATTGAAGAAATTTGTTAACGTATTAGATATATGCATTGACAAGAAGCCTGGAATGGAAAATACATAAACTTCCACAGCTTTTTCCCTATAAACTATAAATATGGGTTGGTGAAATCTCTCTACCACAGAGTTATAAAGATACATTCAAAGTTCAAGGAGGAGTATAATACAACAAATAAGTGTTTGCAGAAATATGGATGCGTCAAATCCATTATAAACAAATAAATTTATGAATACCGAATTAAGACAGAAGAATACAAATCAATTGTCATTCGAATGTGGGAAGATAATGGACAAAAATAATATAAAGATTAAGAACTGTTTTAGAAAAAAAAACATTTTTCTGGCCGCTAAGTTGACTCCACTATACACAACGCTATATTCAATAACACAAACAAAAGTAGATAAATATCTGTCACATGTTACCTCAAAATGCATTTATCAGTTTGTATGTAAATGAAGAAGACTGTATATTGAAAGGACGAAAAGACGGGTTTTTACTAGTTATGATGAGTAAATCTCCAAAAAAAGCCTATGCATATAAGGAGAAAGCTACTTACGTAGTTCAATAGCACGCTACTTACTAAACCCGGGACATAACATGGGTTTAATGAATCCACTCAAATTTATCCATAAACAGTCAAATTTCATCTCATTTAAATTCTCAGAAGCCATAGTAATCAAAGGGCGTACACTTGACGTTTTCATTCATGGAGTCAGTAGATAACCTAAAAATCATTTGGTAGCATTTTGACTAGTCTTGTTCTCAATTCACTATAATCACAAATTAGTGAATTGAATTCGAATGTCATTTCTGTACTTAAAAACCTCTTTCGTCACACTACAATAAAACTGTGTCAACATCCAAGAACTTTCAGCTTAAAATATTCCTTCACACTGCTCACAACTTATTGATGTATAGATTAACAATTCACCTTAACATTTTATTAATAATCATAAATATTTTAACGTATTAGCTCATATGTATCTAGTTGAAGGGAAAGCAAAGAAATACAGTGAATTTATTATATTCTGCAAATATTGTCATTATTGATTTGTTTAAATCTATGCAAACGGTCACAGCTTCTCACTAGAACTCCAGGAAATCTATCTTGAAGCTAATCATTAGTGAGGACATGATTATTACCAGTGAAGATTAACATCTTTGGATGCTGGCTCATAGATTAGGCGTTCACGAGTGAGATCGGAGGTCCTCGGTTCGAGTTCCGCGTGTGAGATCGCGGATACGAACTGCTGAGGAGTCCCATCGTTGGATGAAACGGTTGCCCAGTGCTCCCAGGTTTCCACTGGTGGTCTAGATTCAACTGACTCGTTAATTCAACTGTTAAAGTTGAAATTCATTATCTTCCCGTTACAATATAGACTCTCTTCTTGCGAGTAAAACACCTAAAAATGTCATACTTTTTTTCCTTAATTGAATTAAATAAATAGTTAAAGTTGACTGAATATCTCAGGTCATTTTCCAAAGTCATAACTATGGTCATAAATGGTGGTTACATCATTTTCAGCAGTTTTGGAACTTATGTTTAACATATCTTCTAGTTAGACTTATTACTCAGTTATCGTTCTGTTTTACTTATAACTAACTAATTTATAAGTACTTTCATATAGTTTGGATCATGAACAAATCTTAGCTATATCATCATTGAGAACTATGAAAAACAACACAGCTGTTCTGTCTTAGTGTTGGATACCTCAGCAATCCGCATCGGTGACCCTACTCCCAGGGTTGAAACAATACTCTTGTAAAATTTTTGAAAAAGAAATCGCCACTAATGAAAATCTTTTTTTTCACTTAAACATTTCCATCATACTTAAGATTATTACCCATAATGTAACATTTAACTTTCATTACAATTACTGAATAACCTTCTTTCTTTTGAATACAGTTGAAAATGCATTTAGATTCATTTACGCAATATAAATGTAATTATGTATGATGCATGTTTTTCTGCTACCTACACAATTAAAAAGTCATCGTCTATCATGACATAATCTACACAATTCAAATATATTTTTGTACCCTTATATTCAGTGGTATCTAACACACTTATTACGTAATTAGACAAAAGGGATTGAATTAAAAGAGTTAACAACTGTTTCCATTAGTTATAACTCATTACACACGCTGAATTGAATTATTTATTGGTTAACTAGTAGGCTATATGAAATGAGTTTGGATTCTATTTATATTTCAATGACTTGGGAACATATGGAATATCCTAAGCCTATCAATAAATATAAACGAATTACAAACGTATCATAATAGTTTAAAATATCCCGGAAGGTTTGGTTGAATAAAAATTATCAGGTACCATATCATGCAATTCTGTTCTTACATATAATTATCATTACATCATCTATTTCATGGATTATCTCGAATTATTCATAACTTCAAACCATAGTACTTCAACAAGTTTCTTTTTCTTGATGCTTGGTCGACCCTCAAAATAAATATTGAATGATCACCAGTTAGATGCTAACAATTCAAGAATCGACGTCTGATTAATGTTCTTTTTTTTCAGTGCATATTGACAGCCACCATAGTATCACTGATTGAAATTTTTTCTTAGATCTACAGCGAAAGGTTGTGAAATTTTCAAGAACGCGCCTGGATAGTTTATGCGATTAATAGACATAATGATGTGTTGGAACAAACAAAACGAATAACTTGTTGAAATATCTAAATGGGGGGGGGGGACAAATAACCCAAATATTCAAGCAGGCCGCCAATGTATATATATATATATATAACAGTATGGACTGAGTTTGAAAACTTAATCACCAGGTTTCATATTTGTACAGTGATACTATGAACAAAGTCGAGGATGGAAAATAATAGAAAATAGTAGCGTTGACTACATCATTTATATAGTTTAAGAAGAACAATGTTTTTCGGAAGGAATCGAACTCATTATTCTGTTTCACAACTACTTATTAGATTCTTAATATATTGATAAATAAATTCACTTTTTATTGTTTGCTCGAATCCTCTCATTGATGTTTAGGACTGCAGTTGATCAGTCTCTTATTGGCGTACGTGGATTCTGTGCATATTGCCTTTTCCACAAGCATTCTAAGCGAAGATTGATGGTAGCTAGTAGTGGAATCCAGGACGCCCGTTTCGTCCTATTGGGGACTCGTCAGCCGGATGTACTTACATAAATAAATGTTTAATATACATTAATTTGTAAAGTTTCGATAAAGGTTCAAATATATCCGAACACACCATAGTTATGAGAAGAATAGGGACATTAAATATATTATTACACATGGTAAAATGTGTATTTATGTGTTGGAAGGTAGTAATGCAGAGTGGAACAGATGTTACTGTTACCAGCACTTAATATCAAGATAAGATGGTAATGAGATGGTAATAAAATCAAAAAGTGGTTGCGTAATCACCCAACATGATGAATATTAGAAAATGTGTAATTATTTAATAAAGGTTATTTAATAAATAACCAGTCAACATTGCATAGAAAAGCAAATCATACTTTCATTCTGTATACACAAGACAAGTCGGAAGAGTTTGATAACGATTCCCTTTGGAGAAATGGAATATCATTGGTGCTTTTTTCCGGATAATTATTCTAAATGCATTATTTAAAACAACTTCATATCCTTTATCAAAAATGTATCTGGAACCTATTAAGACTATTCCATTTTTGTTCTTACTCTATTTAAATATATAATTTTCACAAAAATTATTGACTAACAAAGCATAATCAATAGAAATCAGACTGAAATTGAGTTATGAACGAAAAATCAATACATAAGATGTCACACAACTAAGATGGTGGAGAAGATTTGTAGCTCAGGTGGATGATTTTGATAGAGTTTTATTCTCTGAGCTGAATGATTTGGTTGTGGAGCTTTCATTGTTCTTATAAACGACATCATCAGAACAAACTTTAGGCAGAAGTATTCTAACGATGAAACCTTCACAACCAAACCATCCAGCTCAGAGAATAAAACTTCATCAATATCACACAACTGACTACTAAAGAGACTAAAGTTATTTAGTCACTAAGCCAAATTTAATTCATAAACTGTATCATTTTAATTATATAACTACTAATTAGATTTCTTTTTGGTAATAAAAGATAATTCTATTGTAAATCGTTACTAACATGGATTTTTTAAAAAAAACTCCCTATTGTTTTCTCTTTAAAAGTACATCTATGAACAGACTAGAAATTACGTAAGTCAAGATTATTCATATGTATTTATAATATCTAATAAAATTCATTATTATTAATCATATATTATTGTGTACAAAATGAAATAACAGAAGGGGTTTTTGTGAATATTATAGTTCTTTTTGGACGTGTCGCTCAATTTCATGAATTTGTTGAAGTTAGACATGAACACCATTGGATGTCGGCTCAGTGGTCTAGGGGTTAAGCAATCGCGCGCGAGACCAATAGGTCCTGGGTTCGAATCTCTCGATACGGGATTGTGAATGGGCACTGTTGAGGAATCCAACAATAGGACGAAACGGTCGTCCATTGTTTCCAGATTTTCCATGATGGTCTAGATTCAATTAACTCATGAAATTTGAAATAACTTTGAAACATTTCAATTACATGATGTTTGAATATTATAGAAATTCTATGAAACACTTGTCAAAATTACCTTAATACAGTTATTGGTAACTGTTTCACTATTTACTTTCTTTATGTATTTGATCAAATTAATTAACTAATATTCCAATGGAAAACAGGAAGAAAATATAATTTGTTTATTTTAGTGATTTCAAATGAACTTACTTACGCCTCTTACCGATAGTGGAGGAGCATAGGCCACCCACCAACATTCTTCATCCAACTCTGTCCTAGCCAATACTTTCCAGTTGTTTCTAATTGTCATTCATCCCTTGTGATATATGCTTCTAATTCCCAACGTAGTGTGTTCTTTGGCCTTCGTCTTTTCTGTTTTCCTTCAGGATTTCAAGTTAACGATTTCAAATGAAAACTTAATAAGTTTAGAAAATATGTACAAATAACTCATTGCATGTTTACACTGATTGTGATGATAAAGAATTATTCGATAATAACGAAACAGACCCACTGTGTCATTGAAGATGAAGAAAAACAATTCCGAGAAAGATTTCTTTCCGACGATTTTATTTAATTAAGCTGTACAATAGTATCTACAGTTAATTTTATTTATTAAAATTGTAGTCTATAGAATGGCGTCTGTGTACAAAACTAGTATGTTCAGTCCCTCATTCTTCCATGATCTTTCATAATCTGCACCGCTTTCTCATTTCTCAACTTGATTATTTCCAATTATTTTCACAACTATTAATTAATTGTTACAACATTTAATCATTCTATTAGTTGAATTTATGAGTCGATCTAACCTATACCACCATTGGAAACTAGGAAGCACTGGACGGCCGTTTCACTGGTGGTCTAGCTTACACTGACTCATAAATTCAACTAGTAAAATTATTGATTGATTGGCTATAATATAATTATTTTATTTAGGGTCAGCCAGGTGAGAAAGGTGAAGTTGGTCCAAAAGGTGAAAAAGGTCAACCTGTAAGTTTACTTCCCCTTCACCTTGATGAGTCATTTTTATTCGAGAATTCTTTTCGCCTACATTTACATAATTTTTAGTTTATTTGGGATTGTAATTATTTTTCTAAAGTACAAAGCGTGAAACTTGTCATTTCAGAAGAAACGCTTTGTATTTTGTTTGACTGAATGCTTTGCAAAATGGATTTTTGTTTTTTTATACCGATTAACCGTCAATTCTGAAAAATAGGAAGATGTGGCCCTTTTCAATTCTTGCGTTTTACTGTTTCTGTCATGTACCGACAGCACTTCAACCTTCATACACCCTTTAGCATCATAACATAATAAAGGAGATGCGAATTATTGATAAGGGAGCTTTCGTACTCTTCGAAGTCAAAACTATGATACAACAATGACCCTGAGAAAATGTACTAAGACGAAAAACAACAAGAAAAAAACCAATTAGAGATAGCAACATTTAGGGTGGTAATATGAACTAAAGATTTCCCAGGACTTGCTTACTCTTCAGAATTATAATTCAGTAGCAAAAGAAGAAAACTGGATAATTTGGGATATGATTAACACCAACTTGTAACATATGAAACACTTTGTAGATAATATTTAATGTTTTATAATAGAACGACTTACTAAATTTGTTTATTCATCTACAATTTCTACTATCTATAATAACTCAAGATAAAAAGGTTTTGCTCAACGCTGTATAAGTTCACATTGTTACAAGCCTTTTTCGGATAACCATATCCTAGTAGCGATTGTTGAGTGAATCGTCAATTGGTGATTATTTACCTACTTTATATTGTTATAAGTAGTTAATCAAAATTAATTAAAATGTGTAAAAATAAAACAGTACGAAACCCATCGGTTCATGTATATGATTATCGCGTAAATTAGTTTTTATGACATTCAGTCTTTCAATGTGTAGTATTATCCATAAATAATGCTCAGATTATTTATTCTGGTTTCTTGGAGAGACATCGCTTTTTAGACTTCCGAAAGTTCAATCTTTTCGATGAGGGGTCATATCTCTTCTAAATAAGGACCCTTCAACTCCTGGGGCAAAGTTTGAATGGTTTAAGTGATTCCTTCTGTCGGCGTTTTCCAAAACGTTTGTTTTTTACTTGGTGGGATTGTTAATCAGATACCCAATCCTCTTCATTTTTCCAAGCTTAGGACCCACAGTAATCCTAGAAAAGCTCTAGAGGAGTTACTAATGACTAAATAAATAAATCTTCATTGAATGAAGCAATTTAAATAAATGTTTCTGCTATATCTAAAACTATTATTCTATTCATTACACGTTCTATTTATAGGGACGGGATGGTCGTAATGGAATCCCTGGAGCTCCTGGTTTGCCGGGTGTACCGAGTCATATATTAATGATGCCGTTACCAAGTTTTGGAAAGAATGAATTAAGTCGTATGGCCAGTTTTAGAACAACAGTACAACAAGCTGTCGTAAGTTTTCATTTGTCATTTTAAAAATTAAGACTTTTCTTTTGCTAAATAATTTAGTCAATAATCTTGAGATATGTCAAGCGAATCTTGTCTCAAACTATGACACTTAAAATGTCATTAAATAAGTACCTTTATCAATTTAATACACTATTTTGTCACTTTATATCCAGTAAAAATCGAGTAACTGTGATTACCGGGCAGAATGTTGTCATGATTTTCGGGATTCACTCTCATCAGCTAGCCTTTTTAGAACAACTATAAATTTTCACTATGGAGGTTTTATGTGGATTGTAGAATTTCCATAATTCACAGTATGAACCGACCTCAGCTAGATCATTATTAGAAACTAAGCGACATTATATGGCTGTTTTGTCCTAGTATGAGACTAGGAAACATTGACCAGACAGAAGGTACCTGGTTTGAACCCTAATATTGGGGCTATGATTGTGTGCTGCTGAAGAGTTCCATACTAGAGCAAAACAGCTGCCCGCCGCTTCATGATCTTCAATAATTATTTAGCTGAAACCAGTCTTTGATTTAATCTGTGACATAGGTGAGTTGATTATGTTTACTAGAGTAATTCTATGATAAATAATTCACATTCTGTTGATAAGTTATTAGATAGTGGTACTGTAAATTTAGAAACAATTAAATAATTAATTTATCAACCTCCTAAAATGGCACTTCCTACTAAGGAATCCGCCAAACACAAATAACTCCAGATAAAAAAAAAGAACAAACAATGTTTGATAAATAACTGACGTGAACAATTGGGATAAAGAAAATAATATATTCGGAGAGAATGAATCTTCACATTTGGGCTACAATGGATTGAATGGATATAAGTGTAAATCCCTGTCACTTTCAGAGTTGTTCGTTAGTGATTAATGTAACCAGTTAACAGAGTATGTCAAATACAGGCAGTCAAACAATAATTACAAGGTTGATACTGATGTATATATCACTAAACGATAAGCTTTTTCCCTATTATAATATTGTGTTTACATTGTCGGAAAAATGCTTTTTGATATGATTTCAATAAATGATCCGTTATAATATTTGGTATCTATGAACGTAACCTTAGAAACAGTGATATAGACAGATAATAACAATAATAAAATGATAAAAATATCTGTAAATGAATTATTATTGAGGTTATATAAGACATACACTATGGGTACTTCGTGAATCATATTTATCCATATGTTTCACTCTGCTTTTCATTTTATAGATGATGCTAAAAGGAAGTCGAGGTCAGCAAGGTATGACTGGTCTCCCAGGAATACAAGGTCCACCTGGACCAAGAGGTCCGAAAGGAGATCAAGGTCTTTTTGGAGAACCTGGTTTTATAGGTCCAACAGGTTTAAGAGGTCCTCCAGGTCCTGTAGGCCCTCGTGTAAGTTGATTACTCAATAAATTAGTGGTTGTGTTAAATTTTTAGTGATTCATTTGTTTTCTTAGCTTTATGGCACCTTCTTTATATTCATTCGCATAAGTTTTCATATAGGAAACTATATAATAACTAAGGTGATGTAGTAGACGTAAGGTGGTGTTTGAATATGATCGATGAGAAACTCTGAATCCAGGTTTCGTTATATCAAGCGCTCATGAGGGATTTGATCTGGAATCCCCTTAACTCATATTAATAATGAAATAATACATGATTGACATCAGTTATTTAACTTCCAAATTACAAAAAACAGTTATTATGATAACAATTGTTTATGGTCATTAAAGAATAGTTTTTGATTATTCTACTGAGTTCGAAACATCATATGATTATATCATTTAACATGATATTTATTTTTTCTAAAAGAATCAAAACTTATTTCTTCAAATTTATTTCAAGATATTAGAAGTATGTTGGTGAAATAAATGAAATAAAAAACTTGTACAATGTTGATCTAGGAGTTAAGCGTTTGTCTACGAGGGCGAAAGTCGTAGATTTGATTCCTGGCTGCAAGCTTACAAGTGTATACTGCTGATGAGCCCTCTATTAGAACGAAATGGGCGTTCAGTGCTTCCTGGTTTTAGATTGTTGCCTGACTTAGATTAGTTCGCAATCTCAATAAAAAGATTAAGTTAAATAATATGGAACACCAGATTGAGACCCATTGGTTCAAATTCGCTTTCCATTAAGTCCAAAGGCTCTGAACTCAGTCATATGAAGGATCTGTTGTATATAAAAAAAGTACACAGGAAGTTGGCGAATTCGGAACTATTTTATGGACTATTACCGTTTATATTTTTATCATTTTATTAGGAAATAGAATTACTGTATTTTTATATTCCTCGTATTGTGAGCTTCCGTTAGGCTTATAGACTACATATATGCAGTTTATTATCGATTAATTGTTTATAATACATGCGTACCATTTTCTCCGTTCTTTAAAACACATAACTTAATTATTCGCATTATTATTTCTTACTTGAGGTACACTGCGGATTACCCCGATATAGCTACACGATGTGCAGAATAAAAGGATTAAACTTATCATCCACAAAATATCAGTTTGTTAATCGATTATGATCTTTCTAAATAAATTGTAATGACTTTTGTGTTACGCTGTTATCAATCAATGAAAATCGTTTTTTTCGTTTGAACAGGGTAGACCAGGTGTTGACGGTGAAATAGGAGCAAGCGGGTTAGCAGGTCCAAAAGGATTACCTGGTCTTCCTGGATTGCCAGGTTTACCTGGTCATAGAGGTCATAAAGGAGAAATTGGACCAAATGGTATTAAGGGAGATGTTGGACTAAGAGGTACTCCTGGCCCTTACGGACGAGACGGTGAAGTAGGTCCTCCTGGAGAACCTGGCGCAGTTGGACTTCAGGTGAGTAGTTCAATGGGGAATTTTTCCTTCTATATAAATAAAAAAACTGATAGATCATGGCATTTAAAACAGACATGTTAATGTACATAATTTTCTGCTCGCTTGGAATACGATGTCTGAACATGTGACTGTTAAATGCATTAGTTAACTTGCTCTCAGTTATGTGATCAATTCGAATGCTTATACGTGAATCTTCCAATATCCTTTTGTCTGGTCGCCTGTCTATCTATTTATGTGTTAATTATATTCCATTACAGTAATCATGTATAAAGAAATGAGACACTTTGGACAATTTGAATTCGTTTCAATACAGTGCAGACTGTATCAGCCTAGTGCAGTTTTGGGTTAATTTCACTACAATACAATTACTGGATATTCTATCGCCGTTGTTAGTTTTATCCTAATTTAATTTTTCGTGATTCTAATTGCCAGTGTCAATAGAAACCCGACTTAATTACAAAGAGGTTTAATTCTGGTATTATTCCAATACTACTAATATTTCAGTCCAGTTGTCCACTCAGTTCTATGATACTTTGGTTGTTTATCCCTAGTGTACGTGCTAGTTGATTCAAATATCTGAATATAAATTCAGGAACATTTATATTCTGGTTCTTACTTAATTTATATATCCCAGATTGTCGAGTATAAGGATAATGAATCTAACAGAGATTTCAAAGGAATCCCAATTTCTGGGCTTAAATGGACTCTGTAGTTAAGTTTGTGGAAGCTTTATTTTAATTTTCTTACTTTCCTCTCATCTTAATAGTGCTTTTAAAATGATGAGGAATTCAATAACCTGAAGGATTTCTGTATACTTTACAATAATAACTTCAGTTTTAAACAGTAAGGCTTATGGAATACTAATAATTTTCTTTAGAAATCTAAAAATTGGAATCATTCATCAGAGAGCATATGAAGAGTTTTCTCAACACTAATAACAATTATTTCTAGTGTTGTTTCTTATATGTTTTACGGCAACTATACTGTCAACAAATTTAATATTGGGACGACCTGATCTAACTCGTAACTTCACAAATTAATGCACAACTACCGAAAATATTTATGATACGTTGATCGGCTGTATAGCAAGTAGAATTATCAAAGTCCTAACTGACATTACAGGATGACCTCTTAGTCTACAAAAAGATGCTCAGTTTACTTTGGTAAACTATTTGATCGTGATAAGCTAAATGAACAGTTTTTCAAGTTATTGAGAAACTGTTTCCTTTATTCAACAATCAAGGCTTATCTGATTGCTATTATCTTCATATATTTTGAGTTTTAAGTGGAAGCTTGACATATCATTCCAGTTCATAATCCTTTTTGTAACTTGAGGCAGTTATCTTTGTTCGAAATAGTCCTGCTAAATGGTATGGGCTGATTTGAACGGACACGTTTTTATGTATTCATTAATTAGGGCCCTATGGGACCAGTTGGACCAGCTGGATTACGAGGATTACCTGGAAGGATTGGACCAAATGGACTCAAAGGTGAATTTGGAGACTCAGGTGAGATGGGCCCACCTGGCCCACAAGGTCCTGTTGGTCCACCAGGGGTACCCGGACCCCAAGGTATACGTGGACTAACTGGAAAGCCCGGAGCAAGAGGGCCACCTGGTGTGACTGGACTACCAGGTAGCCCTGGAATGACTGGAAATCCTGGACCACAGGTACAAATGTTTTTAATAACAATACGAGCCCATGGTTTTTAACTTTTGCTAAATAAAGTTTCTTTCATACCTAATTCGTATTTAATTTCACACATATATTTCTCCACATTAAAATGAATGACAGAAAAATAGTGGAAGAATATTTAAGATAAAAGAACTTTTGGTGTCCATTCTGAACAATAAAACAAATATCCTACTTCACATATATTCTGTCGACTAACCACGTTTATACAACGTTAAATAAAAAGTAGAATATGAGTTATATTTAGGACATGTATATTTTAAATATCCATGTGGGCAGACAAACCGACCGAATGAATACAGAATTGAATAGATCCAAACAGGAGAGGCTGTTAAAGCCTTCACAATAAATAGTCAATTACTTAATCATTATATGAGATGAATTACAGAAAACCAATTAAAATCTGAATGATAGATACATATAAGGTGATCATATAAAACTGTTCAAATTTAATAGTGCATAATTAACAGGGTCATATATAGATGAATGGAGATAGACATGTATGCACACAATATAATCAATCACGCTACCATTAAACATCCATAGATCAGAAAAAAGTCACCGAACAGTGTTTCAGTCTGTCAGATTAACTTACGATACAGTAGCAAATTTGATTAAGTGATCCCGATTAATGTATAAATGAATCGGTACAAAGCTCTTAACATTAAGTATATTAACACAAATCTAAGTAGTCCCTAGATAATCAGGAAAATGATGAAAATCCTTTCGAATAATCATCTGGAATGTGACCTCGTGAAAGTGCTAACAGGACAAAGATAAATAATTTTTACCTAAAGTCAAACGAGGTCACATCAAAACTAAACTATACTGAAGGCCATGAGAGGCTCTGGGAGAAACTTTGAGATTAACCTAGCGAATATTAGCCAATCAAAATCTAGGTTTTGTGAATAAATTGTGCACTACGAAAAGCCAGTAGATTCAGACAATTTTCTTCCTATTTAAGCTTCATCAGTTCGTTGTACTCAGATCCTAGAACTGATGTTCACTCTGAAATTCGAATTCAGTACCATTCGCTTCAAATGCGCAAAACCATTAAGTTCAGATATCCTCTTATTTGTGCAACCTGTTACATGAATTTGTAGATATTTACCAATTCGTACTAAGTAAATCAAACGAATAATTAATATGTGGGAAGAATTCATATTATCAGTATAGCGTAATAAACCCCTGTCTTAAAAAATAGTAATTGAACAATCTTTAAAACTCAAGGATATCTGTTCATTGAAATAAACCATAAAGTAGTAGTAGAATATGCTTATTCATATCATTTGATTGGGTGGACAGATTTAATTAGTTTGATGTTTATTTCTTCTATGACGTCATTATATTACAATAAACTGTCTTTTTTAAAGGGAAATGCAGGTCCTAAAGGAGAACCAGGATTAACTGGAGAACCTGGGGATACTGGTCCCGTTGGAGCCTCAGGCTATAAAGGTGACCGTGGACCTCGTGGTTTACCTGGAGCTAAAGGAACTCAAGGAGCAGCTGGTTTAACTGGTGTTCGTGGAGATAGAGGAGAAAAAGGTTCAAAAGGTGAACGTGGTCTTCCTGGACCACGAGGTAGTGAAGGTCCTGTTGGATTAAAAGGTGAACCTGGTATAGTAGGTGAACTTGGTCCTCGTGGATTAGAAGGTCAGAAAGTAAGCGAAAAGTGTTTACTGTAAAGGTCATTTTAAGAATTCAACCTCGTAGAATAAACAGAAAGTTTCCGTCACATTTATTATGTTTTTATTCACATACTTTTCATGAAATGAGATCATCAAATTACAGGAATTTATCAATATCTGATGAGCATCGATAATCATTTTCTGAATTTATTTCACTAATTTTCTTATTAGCTGTACAAAATTTAAAATACAATTATTGACAGATTTGTTAAAAAAACTAACTGATATTCTGTATTTCTTATGTTACTAGGGAAACGAAGGTCCTCGAGGAAGTCCAGGATATCCTGGGGTCCAGGTCCTAAAGGCTCCGTTGGGCCAGCAGGTGGTATTGGAAGTCCGGGTGAAAAAGGCGACCCAGGTCATGTGGGACCATTAGGTTTGAGTGGACCTGTTGGACCACGTGGAGCACCTGGTCCGCGTGGGGCGCCGGGACAGTCAGGACCAGTCGGATTCAAAGGTGAAGAAGGACCAACAGGACCAACTGGTCCTCCTGGAGCTGCTGGACCTCAAGGTCCAAGGGGTTCCCCCGGATTCGTAGGAGTTCCGGGTCCTCCGGTAAGTATAGATTTTTCATTGGAATGTCAAATAGTTATTTTAACATGAATTGAATAACAGATTTAAGTAGTCAAACCTTCATATTAAAAAATATACATGTAATTCTATCTTCATTTTCAAAACAAATTAAAGGTTTTATGAAATTACAAATAATTATGTCACTTTTACTAATCAAATTAAATATAGAGCTTAATCGAATGTATGAGAGTTTTTCTGCGAAACTTATATCAGAGATTTACATAATATGAATTTTATTCGTAATCCATTTATGCTTTTATGTTTTTTGCAACGAAGGGTTTACCCGGTCGACCAGGACCAGTCGGACTTTTAGGAGATCGAGGTGAACCTGGTGAACCGGGAATACCTGGTGAAATCGGGCCAATAGGTATGGTTGGTGTGCCTGGTCAAATTGGAGAGCAGGGGGCACCAGGTGAACGTGGTCCTCCAGGACCACGTGGACCTCAAGGGGTTGCAGGTAAACCTGGGGTAGAGGGGATTGAAGGAGTACAGGTGAGTTACAGCTTTATATAAATTGTATTGTTTTTATATTCGATAAACAACTTTTGAATTTGCTTATAAATTGTGATAAGTGATCATCCGATCATAAGCAATGACTCACCATTGTGCATAGACCGAAGATTATCGATCACATTCAACACTTCTTTTTCAAAGAGTGAAAATCTTATAAGTTTTCTGTTGGATCAAATGACAGTGTGAGAATAAATATGAGTTGATTAATTGGAAAGTAGGTGATGATGATTATTCTGACATTAAACTCAATATCTTTTCTGCATAGTTTCTACAGTGTACTTAAGAAAATATCTTACTACTTTGTGATTTATTCGAAGCAGTAAAATATACCTGGAAGTAACCTATTTATCGCGGTACCGGAAGGTCCTAGGTTCGATTTCTGTCGAGATGACGTATGCTCACTGCTAAAGAACGAAATGGTTATCCAATATTTCTCAGTTCTCAAAGATATCTTCAAAAATGACAAATTATTTTGTTTTACTCCAAAGATTTTTTATTTTGCTAAAAAGACAGCTCCTAAAAGAATAAATCTTATTCCATATATTCATGATTGTTTATTTAGAAATCTGATAAACACTACCCATTTAAGTATTTCAATCTTTTAGTGGCTTCTAGATAATTAGTAGAACAACTTCGTTGATCATAGCTACTCTATTGTTTCGTAATACTTCAGCTTAGCCGTTGTAGACGTGAATCGGCTGAAACTACTTGTGATTTATTTCTTATCCACATTTGCCATAGGTAAATAAGACGTAGTAAAAGACCTACAAATGTATTGTTTCTTGTAATTTAACCAATTTTTCATTGCATTGCAGGGTGAAAAGGGAACCAAGGGTGCTGCTGGTCCACCTGGGCCGAGCGGCCCAGTTGGATTACGAGGAACACGTGGACCACCAGGTCCGTCGGGCGACCCTGGGTCGAAGGGAGATGAAGGTCGCATCGGCCCTCAAGGAAGCCTCGGTGACAAGGGTGACAGGGGTCCACCTGGACCACACGGACCACCTGGTCCCATAGGACCAGTTGGACCACAGGGATTGCCAGGAAGTCAAGGTGAACCTGGGTACGTAGACTGATAATTTTAGTCACTAGAACTTGGAATTTAAATTAATTTCTTTTTGGCAGTAAGCTTAATTCTTTGTATTACTTTCTTGGACTGGAATTAGTGACAAGGGTGCACGTGGTCCTCCCGGCCCAATCGGTGAAACAGGCGAAAAAGGTGTGCAGGGATTAATTGGCAAGCCAGGCTTACGGGGACCGACAGGAGCCGATGGGGAGCAAGGTGACCAAGGGAGTCCAGGACCACAAGGTACCAAGGGAGACAGAGGAGAAGCGGTAAGCATTAACAGTAAAATAATCATTAGCACCTTTTTCTATTATCGTTTGTAATAAATACTGAGCAAAAGTCATCTTCTTCACCTGCCTTCTTCCACACTTTTTCCTCTCAGGGTGAACAAGGTTCTGCTGGACAACAAGGAGCAGCTGGATCTCCAGGTCCTCAGGGTATGGTTGGGGAACCAGGAGAGATCGGAATAGCTGGAGTTGCAGGGATAAAAGGTGTAGAAGGCAAAGTTGGACCACCAGGGGCACCTGGACCTGCTGGTGTACAGGTAAGCTTTTAAATTTGGATAACATCTCTCTGTATAGTTCCTACATTGTTTTTAGACAATGTCCTTTCCTTGACATACTATTATTGTACATACAACCAAAATAGCAGCTATATGAAATTATTTATAAAGCATTTTACAGTCTGACAAACAGCCCAAAAATAACCAGAGTTTCCTCCATGTGAATGAACTTCCCTACTGAGCAAATTTTGATTTTAAGGTTGATAAAAGTGATAATTAACATTTGTGTGGCATGTAAACTATGTTAGTACAATGTACACATTAAAAGATTATCACGTTTTTATGGTTGGATTCATCGTTTGATTTTTGTGTTATTCAACTGTGCCTGGAAGTCATTTATTGAGTCATTCTATTTCACTAATTGTAGTACAGGAGCATCAAAAGTGTACTAAAACATTAGTTAATAATTAATGTTTAATCAATATTTATTGAAATTATGAGCAGATACCACATACAAATGAATAAGTTCTATATGAAATCAATAAAAGGAAACTTTCTTCGAATAATTTTTCTACCTCCCGTAATAAATTTCAGGGCTCACCTGGTCGAAGTGGTCCACGTGGGGAACCAGGTATTAAAGGAGTGATCGGCGCAGAAGGGCCACCCGGACTTCCTGGACCTGTTGGTTTGGCTGGAGCTCCAGGAAAAATGGGAATACCTGGCGTACCTGGTCCTCCAGGATCACCTGGATTAAAAGGAGAACAAGGAAAGCCAGGTGCACGTGGTGAACAGGGGGCTCAAGGTACTACTGGACCACCTGGACCAAAAGGGATGAAAGGGATGCTCGGGAGACCTGGACGACAAGGTCAGCCTGGATCTGCGGGACCACCAGGAATAGTTGGAGAGCCAGGTGTTCAGGTAAACATTAGATTTTCATAAACTGTACTTGGAAATTATCCATTTAATTTATGAAAAAAGACGTCTTTAATTGCTTTGTTTATATCTTTATCGATAAACAAAAAGTTACTAAACTAGTCAACTACGTTTAACACAACTTTCAAATGTACATTCTATTACATCCCAGGGTGCACAAGGGCCAATGGGCCCAATCGGTGCTCCAGGATTGCCAGGCGAGCCTGGTGCAGCAGGTCCACCTGGAAAAGATGGAGTCAGAGGAGCTGTCGGTTTAGAAGGACTATTTGGTGATGATGGCCCTCCAGGACCACCTGGACCTGTGGGCGTCCCTGGTGTTCAGGGTCCTCCTGGAACAGCTGGTGAGACTGGTCCTACCGGAGACCCGGGAGATCGAGGTGCTGCTGGATCAGTGGGATTGCCTGGTGAACGTGGACCTCCTGGAATAATGGGAGCTGAAGGACAAGTCGGTCCTCAAGGGCCAGAAGGAGAGCAGGTAAGTCAGTTTTTCTATATCCATAAGCTATTTAAACTTAATCTCATCTATTGTCTAAATATATTGACTGTTTTGTAACTTTCAGGGTCTTCAAGGGCCACCAGGAGAAACTGGACCGAAAGGGAACACAGGTAAAACGGTAAGTAGCCGTTTTACCATTGATAAATTGGATCGATCGCTTTTTAGCACGTTAGTGTAACAATCTTTTTTTCCTCAATCTCAACAAAGGGTTCGCCAGGTCCAAATGGTCCAAAGGGAGAGTCTGGCCCGAAAGGAGTAAGTGGTAATCCTGGAACAGTTGGACCGCCGGGACCTAAAGGAGAACAAGGTAGTATAGGAGACCCTGGACCGACTGGAAAACAGGGTGAAATGGGTGATCATGGAGATCAGGGACCACCTGGTCCTCGAGGGCCTAATGGTGATGAAGGAGAATCTGGGCCTCCAGGACCGACAGGCCCTCCTGGTCCACCTGGTCTACAAGGCAAGTTTTATTTTGATACTTCACCTATTAATTGATTTCAAAGTTGACCACATCAATTCCAGTAACCGAGAGAACGCAATGATGAATTCCTAAAATGGTGACTATAATCATTTCTTAAATCTCTCTTTAAGATTTATTTGAAGTTAATGATGACCAATAAATTAGTATTCGACACACCTGACCACTACTGTACAAGACATTAAGACTGGTTTTAATCCTATAAATGAATAATTTTAATGTGATGCTCCTGATTATAAATTTTTAATTAACTAGTCACTAATCTACGGAATGTCTTCAGCTTCATTAAAACTGCTCTGATTGACATTTTATTATTATTAAAATGACTAGTAATATATTGTCTATTATCAACAAAATATTGTCACTATAATGACACTATTACAAGTATTGTAAATTTACATTTAACCAGGTCCTCGAGGAGAACAAGGTCATCAAGGTGATCCTGGACCAATGGGTAAACAAGGTCCACAAGGTCAGGTGAAAATAACAAATAATGGAGAAAATCTACGAATGAGATATAAGAGATCAGCTGCAATACAATCTGGTAAATATGATCCATTTTAATCTTTATATTTATTATCTATTTATTGATTAAACGATTTCCTTGAAAGATAAATATTGTATACTTGATGAAACTGTCTATAGAATCAAGGGTTTATGTTTTGTAGTTTTACTTATTAACTTACTAACTAACTAACTTACTTACTTACTTACTTACTTACGCCTGTTACACATCGTGAAGGAGCATAGGCCACTCATCAGCATTCTCCATCCAACCCTGTCCCAAGCAATCCTTTCCAGCTCCTTCCAGTTGTTATTCATCCTTTTCATATCTACTTCCATTTCCCGACATAATGTGTTCTTCGGCCTTCCTCTTTTCAGCTTCCCTTCAGGATTCCAAGTTAGAGCTTGCCTCGTGGTGCAGTTTGACGATTTGCGTAATGTATGTCCTATCCATTTCCATCATCTTTTCCTAATTTCTTCTTCAGCTGGAAGTTGGTTTGTTCTCTCCCACAGAAGGCTATTGCTGATGGTATCCGGCCAATGGATGTTGAGTATCTTGCGTAGACAACTATTTATAAATACTTGTACCTTCCTGTTGATGGTGGTGGTTGTAGTTCTCCAAGTTTCAGTTTCGTACAGTAGAACTGCCTTGACGTCCGTGGTGGTGTAATAATACCAATGTTTCATATATTTCAATAATTATCAACGTATTCATTGTTTCATATTTATTTAGTGAAAACTGATTAAATTCTTAGTAACTGTATAAATAACCGACGACTTTTGCATAATTCATGATAATACAATCAGATCATAGATTTTTATTTACTAAACAATCGCAGTTTATATTTATAAAAAGTGTCTGATGCAGCTTGGTAGTTGAATGAACACATTCAAAATGAAATGCTATTAAAACTGTTTAGGTATTACTTGATGGTTTTGACGGAGAATGTAAGCATTAAGTTATTATTTCTTGACTAGAAACTACCTGAAGTTTTAACACTTTAATGAAAACCTTCGTGAACAGTAGTTCACGTTGTGGATTGTTTTCAAGATGAACTGATTTTTGCTAGATCATAATGAAAGCTAATAACTCTAAGAATTCAAACTATATCAATAGGGACTCATTTATTGCTAATAACAATAAAAGTAGGTAGTACCGAATTACAAATTATTCTTAAGTTATGGTGATCATCGAGCTGTTCGAAGGTCTCAGCCTAAAGACTCGATGTGGTCATTCTAAATGCATATTTTTGAAAAGTCTCAAACTTAAGCAATACGACTTTATCAGTATTGTTTAATTTTAAATAATTTTCTTACTGGGTTCAGTTCACTATGAAATTTGTATTTAAATATAAACTTAATGGTTGAAAGCTTTATTTCTAGTAAACTAATCAGAGAATTCGGAAGCTCAATATAATTTCTAGCTCAAGTAGTCAGTTGGGAAGGGGTTAGCACGTACCACATCGTGTACCAATATCAGAGTTCGGATACTGGCCGTCACAACAAATTAATCCGTAGTCTAACGCTGATCAAAATATCTACCAAAAAATACTTTTATGAAACTTAAATGAAACCATCTTTTAAATGTTAAATGTACTAGCAATCATAGTACTCATTAAATTATTTAAGTACACAGTCATTATTTAAGATTTGCACACCAAACAATTCTTCCTATTAAGGAAGAACAGTTAACCAGTTGTCGTCATTTCATTTAAGAGATAGATGTGTGAGCATTAAATAATGTATTGCTTTTGTGAGGTACATTCTTATAAATACAACTGTATTATATGATCACTTGTTGTATAATCCTTATTCATTCATTCTAATATTTATACGGATAATTATCTGTATTTCCAGTAGCATGTTTGACAGTGATCTAATGGATTTTTGATGTAGCCTAATAAATTAACTGAAAACAACTAATTATTTATTTGAACACATAAACATTGGTACAAAGGGGCACCAAATACATCTGCGCCACACAATAACAATGAGGCCGGTTGTATTTATCATTGATTTATGTGAGGGCTGTGATACTGCACGGCTGCTGAAACCAAAGCAGATGGTTTTCTTATGTGGCCACTCCTTGAGCCTTTGACCTAAAGGTATAATCCACAAGGCTGTGGAGCGACGTTAAGAGATGCAGTACCATGTTAGCCGATGACAAACAGTAGGTTAATACGCCTTTTTTACCATCAGAATCCTGGAGCCCATGTGTACCAATGGTTTGGAATCAGAATTTTCGAACTCCTCTAAGTGGGTCCTCCATATCCACCAATCCGGTTAAAGCACCGGACATTCGTCTTTCGTCCTCTCAATTTCAAAAACAACAGTAATGCCGCGAGAAGGCAGTGAGTAGGACTTCTCTGACAGTGGCAATAAACGCGTGACCATGTGAGAGCATTTCGAGTGGGAGAGCTGACTCTCCTCACACTCGACCGTATCAGGGCGTTTGAGGGCAAGAAAGTCAAAGATCATATATCGCCCATGTAGATAAGGCGATTTCTAATATTTTCCCAAACATATATTAAATATACATTCTTCCAAACAATCAAACTGGTCTTATTATTATTTAATTACCTTTGTATTTATATTGTAGAAGAAACACTTGAACAAATTAATCAAAATATATTTGGACGTGTAGATGCATTGAATAAGAAAGTACGTTCAAGACGTTATGCAACTGGTTTAAGTCCACAAAATCCAGCACGAACATGTAAAGATGTCAGATTGACAAATAAATTTGCTCAGAATGATACGTAAGTTTAATTCATTTTTATTGATTTTTTGAATCTTCTCATAACTATTTACATCGAGTAGTTCCAAACTATTCCTCAGAAAAGTTCATATGGTCCAAAAAAACGCTCAGACACATTTAATCCTATCAGCGTTAAATAGAAACATCTCAGAAACATCTAGAATGTAGCAATTCATGTTTCTAATTAAATATTTACATATACCCTTACAATATTTAGTATAGTGCCAGAAGTTTCGAGAACCTTAAGGTCAAGTATAACTCCATAAATATCCCTGTTTTTCTGCACACAAAGTAACCGTCAAGTAAAGCGTTCTTGTCGCATTTTGTGCATTTTCTCTTATGTTCAAGTTGCCACGTAGATTTAGCATGGTGTTATTAGAAGTAGATAGGAATTCGGATCGAGCGTTCATTAAACAGACTTATCACTGATAAGTTGACTACACAACAGGTTTTAAAATCTAATTAAGTGATATTTAACTTCATATTGTCTTATTCTATATGGTAAGATAAAAGATAATATCAAATTACAATTGACTAATTCAAAGTATAATTAAATTTTATTTCGTTTTTGTACTGTTTTTTTTTTAAATCTTCCCATTGATGTTTAGGACTGCGATTGATCAGACTCAGTAGTTAAGTAGATAAGGCAATGGCATTTGAAGTGAAAGGTACTCGGTACGAGTTCCGGAGTGAATATCAACTCTGGAATGCTGGTATATATCCAGCTGACGAGTTCCAAACAGGACGAAACGAGCAGTCCAGATTTCATCACTAGCCACTATACATCTCTGCTTATGATTAAATTTATTCTAGCAATAATGATATTTTCTAGTTAGTTCATTAACGGGAGATCTGCTTCATCGTTACTTCAGAGTTGAGCTATAAATGGCGAATTATACTTCTGTCTGTCACAATAACGGGGATGATTATAAGTAGTCTCATTAATAATACTAATGCTAAACCAATTAATTCGATAAAAATGCCTGATACATGTAGAACAATTTGAAGAAATAATGAACGAAGGAAGAATGCATTATGTTTATGGAACCTAGCAGTGTGCACTGACAATATCAATCAGAATAGAATCTAGAAATGTGGAATTTTTTGCTTAACAGTTTTTACAAATGTCAATGCTCATTGAAATCATCCGCTCCTTTGTGTTTTCTTCTGAAGTTATTATATTAATCATGACTGGTGGAGTCTAGCCGTACTGGACATAACGTTTATTGCTTACTGCGTAATCTAATAACCAAGAGATAGATGTTGTATATATTAGCGAGTAGTCATTGATAAGAAGCACATACGTAAATTAAATGGCTCTCTAGTGCTTCCTCGATTTAAGTACTTGAGCAGCACATGTCACATCATAATGAAAACGGACTTAGAATTGAGAATTCTCCATAAACACTTGTCATTCCACTATCATTTAATGATAACTACTGTTGTGAACTTTAACACTCAAATACTCAGTCTTATTCTAGTTATCTTCTTCTAATCTACCAGTTATTGGATCGATCCAAATGAAGGGTCGAATAAAGATGCAATTAGAGCGAAGTGTACATTTTTTGATGATGGCACTGTTGAGACATGTGTTGATTCAAGTATGGATCAAGTAAGTGAATGTCACTAATTATCTTAGTAATTTTATTAAAGGTGAATAAATATTTATTTTAGGCGGAGATTTTTTTGCGCAAAACTTAATTTTGATGTCGTATCACTATAAATAAACTAAGTGCAAATCCCAGCTACTAGATAGAAGAAAGGCGCTCAGTAGATTTAGTTCACATGCCTTCTCCACTGAGCGCTATCTCTCTTTGTTCTCGTTTCTTCGCTTCCTACACTTCGTCCCTCTTATTGTCTGTTCAGACCAATAAGTGTACAAAATATACGTATTCAAATATTCATTCTCGTATTTGACATATTTAATTCCATTATCCACCAACGCGATTTAAGCCGATAATTATATACGAAGATTGGTGATATGTATATTTCAATAATATTCATACGATCTGGAGTCAGATTCAGGTTCACAGAAGTGGTGAGTCCGACGTGATCAATAACCTTCTGTACTCAGGCCACAAAAATCTTTTAATCCGTTCATATCAGATTCATTGTTCTAATCTGAATGACAATGTTATTCGAATCATTTCCATGAAGAACTGCAGGTTTTTCAATAATTTAATGTGCGTAGAATATCTGATATCAAATGTTTCGTTATAGTTAGTAAGATATGTTTAATTCTTTAAAGGTGAAGACAACATTCACAATATCAACTAGAGAATGAATCTTCATGGAAGTTATATATGGTTAGTAATGATCTGTGACAATGAACAATAGGAACTTAATCGGTCTCATTAATGTTTCTTTTTAATTAAATGCCATTTAGTTATTAGATTTCCAACGCTTAGATTTTACTAGCTAGAATGATGTAAAACGTTGAATGACCGCATTTATTATTCATGTATATGAATAGAGAATGCACACTCATTCGAATAGAAGTATGTTTAAACTGAAACCTATTTTGATTTAAAGTTCATGAGAAGTTTAAGATTAAAAATTTCTTCGTGATACGAACAAAAGTCGTAAACTTTACAACTTCAATTTCCTAAATTTCAATATTGTCATGAAACTTATTGAATATCTGCTAACTAAGTGAATGTTTTACAGCTAATATTGTCATCAGTAGAATTTATGTTATAATCTTATTGACTTAGTGACTTACGCCTGTTAATCCCAATAGAGCCTGGAGCCCTCCTGGGACTACTGCCGGTCCCAAGTCCGGATAAAGAAGAAAGGTTGAGCATGGGGTTAGCGACCCCATCCCGTGGAAAAAAACTCGCCAAAGAAACGCTAACCAGAAAAAACTAGTTTAAACCGTCTAAACTCTCCCCTGGAAGTTAGGTCTTCATTTAGAAGATTTATGTAATAATCTAATTGGATATATTTCTAAATAAATAGTTGTATTACTTTGTCATTGCGATTATTTTGAAATTTATTTTGATATTAGGGAATACTAGTTACATATCTGAAACCATTACCAAGTGATAGTGAGTGGCAAAGTCAACTTCGAGTGATGAATTCTACAACACCATTAGATGTAAGTTATATAAATGAATTTTAAACTGATTTATGATTTTAATATGTTTAAATAAATCACTGAGACATAATGAATGAAAGTCAGCTTAGAAAGTTCACTAGAAATATCTATAAGATTAATAGCAATCACTTAGATGAAATCGCTCAAATCATAAATAGATCGAGTATTGAGATGGTGGTGAAGATTTGTAGCTCAGGTGGATGATTTTGCTGGAGTTTTGTTCTGTTACTATCCAGCTCAGAGAACAAAACTCCATCAAAATTGAGTATTATTGTTAAAAAGTATTAAATGTAGGCAGTAATTACCTACATATGCACTTCTAAGCTAATCTCTAGACTGTCAAATACAAAGTCATAGTTTAATCAAAGTCAGGACAAGTAAGCTATTTAGCTTGATAAACTGTTTCGGAAACGTAAATTAGCATCGTTGGTATACGAAGAAACAGATTAAGACATTCCACTGAACAAGAAAAAACAGCGGAATAAATAACACACAAATTAACAACTGGAGGACAGAAAATGCAGTCAACAAAACTCAATATCGATTGTAACAAACATGAAGGATTATGATTAGTGAATAAACAAGGTATAGTCATACAAGGCCAAAGACAATCAATATGGTAATGAGTTCGTTTGTCGATCATACCTCACAGTAAATTCAGTAATCGAAAATTTCTATCGTGTAATTTCCGCAACTTCGTTACTTGTACTTCTGTACGTATGTCTCCAGATGTGTCATTTCGTAAACTTATTGTTACATGTTGTCAAAATTATTAGTGACATTTGGAGTTTGTTTTGTCAACGAGAAGCCTATCGACAATACTTTTAATAATAAGATTAATCTTAGTCTTTGTTTAAACGTTGTGCTCAATAATTACTTTCTGTGCAATGATACGAACAAAGACTTATAGCTTAGTTGGATAGTTTCATTATGCTGTCTTCTTCAAGTGATATAGATCCAACCAGAGAAACGGGCAAACTGATTTTGTTGTCCGGAACGATAATAAAAGCTTTAATATTAAATCATCTAACCCAGGGAATAGTGTATGCTACTTATGTCGACAGATATAAGTAGTATGTAACACCAACTGAAAGTTGAAAACCTGGCAGCAAAAGGCTAAGAAAATCGAGGTGAAGAGAACAGAAGGGTAAATAAAAAGAAATTGTGAAGTAGGAGAATCATACAGAATATGAAGGACAAATGACAGAAGTTTGCAAATGAAGTATTCAGTGTATGATTCTTATATTTTGTCGAGAGATTTTGTAATTTCGCATTCAAACAGAAATCGATAGTCCATACCTGTGTTCTTGTTCATTACAAGGGGACAAAGAACTACTAATTAGTTTTGTAGGGACTCAAGCAATTTAGCATGAATTCAACTGGAATTGTTGTAGTCTTGTACTTTCTGTTTATATCAACTTCCATTTCACTGATTAACTCATCTCAACCTCACAAATTGATCATGTCAACTTTTTATTGGCTTGGCATTATTTTATTTTTACGAACTTTGTCACGTAGACACGATTAGAAGTTCATTTGATGATATGATGACCTGGAACTAGATTGGTACATCAGTGTTGCTACTTGGAATAAATGCTGATTACTCCAAATGGCACGACTATTTATTATAACTGCAAATCAAATGATACCTGCCACTTAATGCAACAGAACAGGACTGATATGCCAACGTAAAGGAGAATATAAAGCTGTAGAAGAATAATTTGTTCACCAGTCACTAAAAGATGTTCACACTAATAATAACCAAGTCGAATGCTAGTGATTTTAGATACACATAATTCAGAGATCCATTAATATAGACAGACGATGAAACATTTGCCTATTCAACTTAACTAAGCTTAATTCAACATTTATGGTAAGACAGGAAATGAAAACAAAAGTCCTATGACGAAATAGAGTGAGTGATAATTAAACATAGGCATAAATACGCTCATACAAAACACAATCAAGGTTACAAGTGAACAGTGACAAGGTCATAAAGTGACCTGTTCTAGATTGATAAATTAGAATTAGCTGATAAGACACATCTCTGGTCATGGGAAGAAAACGTAATGCTTGAATGTTGTAAGTAATGACTTGACAATTATCAGAGTAACTGAATGTGATTGATTTGTTTTCATCTAGTGTCTAACTTTAAAGGCGAGACTCTAATTTAGCGACGAGCCAATCAGAAGCGTTTGAGCAATTTCAAGGTCACGGAGCCAAGTTCAACATGCGATGCTAACATACGGTCGGTTCACAGCGGATTTTAAAGAGGAGGTGCTTAATGAGAGGTTAAAACAGATGGGACGGCGGAACTCTAATTTAGGGACGAGCCAATGAGAAGCGTTTGAGCAATTTCAATTATTAGCCAATTAGAAGACAGTATAAAGTAAAAATATATTACAAGAAAGTAATGAATTACAGTGGATATTCTTCTTTTACATGATTTAAAAACTTGTTGAGGTTTGATAAATGCTCAGAAGTTCTGAATTCATAATGCATATGGTATAGAAACTCGTCCATAGGTTTAGGGGTTAAGGTTAGGGTTAAGTTTAGGGCTTAGGGTTAGATTAGGGTTTAGGGTTAAGGTTAGGGTGCTAACATGCCATCGGTTTACATCGTATTTTAGAGAAGAGGTGTTTATTGACAGGCCTCAACCCCACTGTGACCCTAACCATAACCCCAAACTCTCACCCCTAACCTCTAAAATCCGTTGTAAACTGATCGGATGTTAGCACCCTAACCCTAGGCTACAGCCCCAACCACTAACCCTATGAACGAGTTTCTATACCATATGCATTACCAATTCAGAGCCTCTGAACCTTTATCAAACCTTAACAAGTTTTTAAGTCATGTAAAAGAAGAATATCCACTGTAATTCATTACTTACTTACAATATATTCTCACTTTAAACTAAAAGTCTTCTGATTGGCTAATAATTGTCAAGGTCATTTAAGATTCGTTCAAAGGTCGTCGCTAAATTAGAGTCTCGCCCATAAAAATAGGGTTTCTTTTGCATCATTATCCTCTAATTTGATTGAAATATATGATCAGTTAAGGGGTTGTGGAGATTGTTAAGTTTTTGAATGAGACCATGAACCGATTGATGATAGACCACCATTGAATACCTGGAAGCACTGGACGGCCGCTTCGTCCTATTGTGAAACTCCTCAGCAGTGCGCATCCAGGATCGCGCTCGCGCGGAAAAGTTTTGAATATTTGATTAAAATGTTAGTTCTAGTCAGTATAGAACCTGAGATCAATGTGCACCAGTTCAAGTTTTTATAACATATTAGGATGATGAAGTGAATCTAATTATAGACTGATAGCAGAGGAATCGAAATAATAGCACTATCAGTGATGATTAAAAATGTCTAAACATTAAGAATGTAGTTCTAAAATAAAAAATGACAAGATAGCCAATATGAATGACTATTGAAGCTTAATATCTAAGTATAGGTAAGCAGTGAATTCGTCTGAATCACTGTAATTGACTCTGATTTACATTACTGAATGTCTCCAACCACTGACCATAGTCTTTATATGGTCACCAATCACGTACTTTAAACCTATAAATACGGCTCAGTTCAACAGTTATTGGTTTAATGGACTAATGTCTAGTCTTGCTTTATTCGCTCCTACTTTTTTCTAATTTACTGTTATACAAACCAGCATTGAATGTCAAATTAGTTAGTGTTTTGGGCATAATATGTGTTATATGTTTTTCAGCCTCTTCAGTTGATCTATAGTCTCATCAACCGATATACCATCTTTATTTCCTTATTCCCGACTCTATTATTACACCGAGTACAAACATTGCGTAGACAACACCTATGATCAGACTAATTTCTGATCAATAACGGTCCCTTCGTTTTTTTTAGACGAACCAAATCTCGATTTTGTTCATAGTAATTATCAGCCAGTAAGCTACAACTTAGGACCAGTCACATATCTACATCGATCCAAGTTGCCATACCTCATTAGCAAAACAAGATGAACACTGGATTCATAGAAGTAGTTAATTCAGTGGCAGTAATATATAAAAGAAAGATTGCATATAAGGACATAGTACAGGAAGAAAGAATTAGTTCGTAGAAAGTAGGTATGAAGCGATTTTAATCTTATAGTTTATGGAAGACAGAGAATGTATAAACCTACGCCATTGTGATCGATTCTGAGCCATGTCACCCAGAGTCTCCAACCATTGGTTACGATAGTCACGCGAACCCCAACCAAGTAGTCTGCATCTACCAATATGGTCAAGACTAGAAGTTAGTGACTTCAACGACTGATGCCACGTTTTGGTTTGGCCGCCCCTAACTTTCTTCCAACCATCCTCAACACTAGTCAGCATTACGTGTCGTGGTAAGTATATTTTATAGTAATTCTAAATATAAACCTAATCCAATTTTTTTAAATTCTCACACTATATGTATCGTTTACGATATTCAACACTAAACTAACGAGAACACTTTTTCTTTCCACTATTTAGTTACATAATTATGGAAGTCATTCACAAGTTAATATGTTACGTATTCAACATAGATATGCATCACAGGAACTCGAATTTTTATGTGATGGTACAGAAATCTATGGTTCATGGAATTCACGTACAAGTCAATCAGATTTTAATAAAGCAACAGCTCTTCTAGCACATAATGAACGTATGCTTGATTTAACTTCAGGTGAAAGATTAGGACCAGGAAAATATCATATGGATAAGCGTAATTATCGAAATAACTTAGATCGTGTTGATACAAGTATTATTGTAGAATATGATGGATGTCAGGTTAGTTAATCAATCATGAACATTTTTCTAACTATAGTAATCATAATGAATGGTAAAAGTTAGATACGTTTCATGGCCATATGAAATATTCCATGATTTACCTATTATTGAGATACAATGAGTCGATATTCATTCCAGATAAAACTCACGAAACAAACAATTAAGAAGTTGCCCTGACCATACGAGAATCCATCTTACACAACGAATTCAAGATAATTCAAAGAGAGCAAATAGAACTAATGAATAACTAAATCGAATATTTAGAATAAAATTAATAACAACGATAGCAACAACTCATTCGCAACATTTTTGAATGATTTCTTCAGAGAATTTGTCGATGATAATTTGGTAATATAGAAATGGCGACCAGAAAAGGACAATACTTGTGGCCTTTATCTAGGCTACATGGCATTAAATCGTATTTCCTTAGAAGATCAGTCTAATATCAACTATGATCTACGTGAATATCTTAGACCATCTGGTTTCGATATATCAAGACTATTAAGGTTCTCATAAGTTTGTGTCAAAATCTGTTTACAGTCATGCTGTAGTGGATCAAATAAACATAAATAAATTTCAACAATGTCCTGATATTTCGTATAAGGTCATTTAATATCATTATAAAAACACAAGTTTATTGTTAATAGATAATGAAAATAATTGAATTAGTAGAGGCTAGAAAGATCCAGTGACGATGACGCAGAAAATCTAACTTTTAACTTGCAACACATAAGAGGTCAGGTTCACTGGTAGTTGGTCCAAAAACCGTACTCAACTTTTTGCAACATAATTTATATGATAATACATTAACTGAAGAAGTTGGGTATTCTGACCCTAGAAAATGGATATACCACAATTCAAACATAATAGTTTTGGTTTTAGATTGAGATCATGAACCCACTGATGTTAGACCACCATTGGGAAACTGGTAGCACTGGACAGCCGTTTCGTCTTATTGTGGGGCTCCTCAGCAGTGCGCATCCACGATCCCGCTCGCAGGGTTCGAACCCAGGGCCTTCGTTCACTCACGCGAACGCTTACACTACTGGAACACTGAGCCGACACCCAATGGTGATAGTGTCTAACATCTAATAGTTTAATAAAGAATAGAGTTTGATTTTAATGAGAATGAGCCATTATTACCCTCAAAATAAATAACTTTTATTTACATTTTCTTCATACCTCACCTTTTTTTTATCTCTAGTACTTGACAAAAGGTGCAGCTACTAAGTTATTGATTGAAACAAGAGATTTAGAAGTATTGCCAATTATTGATTTTAAAGTACGGAACTTCGATAAACAAGGAACATGTTCATTAAGTGTAAATGTCGGTGCTGTATGCTATCGTACATAGAAACAAACTACTAACAAAATTATCATAATCAAAATGATGGAAACGAGAAAAAAATAGAGAAATTTCCGGAAAAAGAAAAAAAACTATATTGAATTGAATACATTCATATATTCAATAATTAGTCAATTACTATTCATTATTGTTTTGCTTTTGTTTGTATGAATAATCTTTCAATTTCAAATTAATTTAATCCAAGTTGTTTTAATGTGTGCCACAATTGATAAAATTGTACAATGTTCGAATGAAAACAAATAAAAAGTTAGATAAATTAAACCAGTTAAATATTTTTATATCATATTATATCATAAGCATAATTTTAAACAATTAATAAAATTTCAATAGTTAAGGTCATGAATCAATTGAAGCCAGACCACCATGAAAAACCTGGAAGCACTGGACAGCCGTTTCGTCCCATTGTAGGACTCCTCAGCAGGCGCAGTCACGACTCTGCCTGACGGGATTCAAACCCGGAACCTATCAGTCTCTCACGCGAACACTCAAACGCTAAACCACTGAGCCGGCATCTAACGGCGGTGGTCAAGCGCCTGGCGCAAGACTGATAGATCCTGAGTTCGAATCCTGTCAGGCAGAGTCATGGATGCGCAACGCTGAGGAGTCCCACAAAGAGACGAAACGACCGTCCAGTGCCTCCAGGTTTCCATGGTGGTCAGGCTTCAATTGATTCATGATCTCAACAACTTGAAATAACGAAATTACGATTTCGCTATCATACATGACTATTCATTGTGAACAAAACAAAACAAAGTGAGAAAAGTGCATTTTATTGTTATTGTTGTTGTTAGAGTGTAGTGCAATGAGGACATCAATGGAAGACAACCGAATGTATTTGTATAAGAAATTAATGTATTTCTTAGTAAAATCTGAGAACTACATAGGAAATACTTTATTTACAAACCCTTCATTAATTGTCTCAAACTTGATTTTTCTTTTGTTTCTACATCAATCGTTCTCTCTCCTTCGATCTTCTTGACCTTCTGTCCCTAAGCATTTCACTTTCGACTGGTGATATATACTATTTATATTTGTTGACACCAGTACTACATACCACAATTTTGTTAAAAATGAGTTTGGTTAACTGATGAAAATATTGATTTATTACACCATACAACAGTAATCATTATCAACAACGAGATCGTTTTAATTAGACAAGAATAATGTATCCAGCTGGACTTTGCTTGCATTACTATTATACATTTATAGGTACCAAAAGGATCTTAATATTCATATTTTTGGTAAAATTAATGACTTAACATCAGGGTTTACCAATCATAACATCTATCCTGCTTATCTGTTCTTGATATATTATAACACACTGTTTGAAGAAGGTAACTTTACAACTGCACTTACTCTCTTTTGAGAATAATTTCAGGCTGTCAATAACTATTTTTAATTAACTTGGCCCAACAATGCATTTAATGTCAACTTTAGTTTCACATATCTGCAAAACGTGATTGGCAAACTAAGATTTTTGTGTCTTTGATGATCGAATTCAACTACTAATCCTAATTTTTGGTGCCCAACGAACGAAATATTATAAAGACAGTAAACTGAGATTGTGTAGAATAACGTACTACCGATAGTTATTAATTTTATTTATAACGTATGCATACCATAAGGATAAGAAGATCTGGACTAAGTACTTGATTAGAGAAGTAAATCATTTACTCACACTAACACACTCACATTGTCATTACCATTATTTTGTGTGACCAATCTCAATCTTATAAAAATTTAGGCATAAGGTGTACATATGCTTAGATTCGTCTCTTCACTGCCTAGGATTTTCCACAAAATATATACTATTTTCAATCATGTATGTAATACAGTAATGAGTTGAATTTTTTTCGTCAGCGAACCACTTGATCGATTGCATTATGCTTAAATTTATGGTTTAACATTTCTCGTTCACTACAAAATGACTAAAGACAACCGTTGCAAATGATTTAATTTTAGCTAGCTTGAGTCTAAAATGTGATCACTTTTTGTAAATTGAAATCTATTTTTATCTGTAAGGTAAATTGTGGTTGGAAAAAAACCCATGAAAGATTTCACTAAGGATTGAGTATTCTATTTCATCTCGACTATTAATTATAACAAATCGTAGTTAATTGAAAAAAGATAATCTTGTCACAACCGCTTATGCAACTACCTAAAGTTAGGATTATTATTCGTAAAAACCAGATATTAGATTAAAACACCAAGCTTATCACATCTAAAATCACTTGAGTCAATCTTGGATCCCATCACGATTACAATAGTTGTAATTGTTTTTATGCTATTTATAATATTTGAGTAGTATGAATTTTCAAGTCGAAATAAAGAGTTAACATCTCACTATATATTTTGATGTCCATGTTTTTATATTAGAATATTTTTACAATAAATGATCGTAATAACAATTGTAAGCGTGAGAGTAATTCTTCACCTTTATGTACTCATTATCTTTCCATCTTCCATCTGTCATTCATGACTTGATTGCTTTCTTTTCTACTTTATTTAGTGCTCAAATGATAAATTAGTAATAATAGATTTTATTAATATGTATACCATATTGTACAGGTATATAATGTATGTATGAATGTAAACAAGACAGTAGAAGTACTTTAAATTTTCACATAATCTTGGGCAAATTGATCATTTCTTCTTTTTGCCTTTACCACTTTTTTTCCCACTCTTCTTTCCACTTTTCTTCGTTCCACCTTTCTTTTCATTCACCTTAGCTTGTTTATCAATTTCTCGTTGTATTGTAAATTGGGGAATTAGAGGAACTGTACGTGTTTGTATTAAATGTTCAATTTTAGGTAGATCACCGTTTGCAGCGTCCAATAAAACCTGTATATAGTTGTATTATTAATAATAATAGGAGAGGAATTAAATGTAACATATAAAGAAAATCTCTTTTAAAATTGTTGAAAATAATGCGAAAACATTGATGATGATTTCATATATATCATATTTATAACTTAAAATAGATATTTTCCATGATAACCCTTGTATGAGATGTCGAAATAAATGGGGATCTAAACTTATTCAAGAATAATAATTTTTAAAAGAATCAGTTATCAGTTAGTAAATACCTTTATTTTTAAATACATCCGTATAATACTGCTTGAAATAGCAATTAGATGTTTAGTCGTTAAGCGCTAACTCTACGGTTAGAGTGTTCCCAAATTCTCCTTGTATAACTTAGCGGTCCTGAAATCGCTTGGAAGCATTTTATTCAGTCGGGATTGAATAGAAATTTCTTTGAAATATCTAAAAGGATAACGAATCACGAGTCAACTCCTTATTGCTAATATTTATTATTCTTCTGGAACTTTCTAGATGATCAAGGTCACATTGAATAATAAAAATAAGCACGAGTACAGCACCATTTTTGCGTTTTCTTCTTATTCTTTTGTGTTTAGACTGTTATGTATATTTAGACTGAGATTATTAGAAGCGGCCAGAAAATCAGATCGAGTACTCAATTAACAGAATAAATAATCTATTTATGTCCCTTTAAACACTATTTAAATGGTGCTATATAATGGAATGTTTTTCGGGGTTGAGAATCTCCAATGTTAATTTTTTCTCAAGGATAGATTTTGAATCTGAAAAACAGTTTGAATAGTTCAATATATTTGTCTTTTAAATCTTGAAGTTGCAACTTCTTTATTCTATGACTAAACTTTAGTGATTCCAATGAAATGTATTTGTACTTGTTAAAGTGTGACAAATCGTACTATTCTAGCTACCTTTGATTAGTCCTTATAATATCATGATCAATATATTTGAGAAAGCTAGACTCAAATTTGTTACATAGATTGCTTGATAACCAGACAGAAACAATGATTAAAGATCCTAATGAATTATAAATTAACTATTTCGATAATATTCGATGTCCCAACACTGTCTATCCATTGGAGGACTGTTTATTTTTATTTGAATCAATTTAAAACTATTGATTTTGAACAATAGTTCAGTTGTATCAGCTATTTACGTTATTGTTGTGTATAACAACGGAACCTGTTAGAGCGACTGATTTAGTACAAATCTATGTTCAGAATGGGTTTTGTGGAGATTTTCAGAAATTCCATAGGTTGAAATCACGAGTCAACTGAAGCTAGACCACCATGGAAAACCTGGAAGTACTGGACGGCGCGCGAAACCAGTGGGTCCTGGGTTCGAATCCCGCGAGGTGCGGGATTGTGGATGCGCACTGCTGAGAAGTCCCATACTAGGACGAAACGGCCGTCCAGTGCTTCCAGGTTTTCCATGGTGGTCTAGCTTCAATTGACTCATGATTTCAACTATTAAATTATATGTATATATTTTTTTAAAATATGAAATCTATGTTCATCATTGAGTTATTTTGTACTTCATTCGTGATGTTTATATTTGATGATAAATCGATCAGAAGCATGTGAAACCTCCGGATGTAGAAACTATACTTCACAAAATACGAAGAGATTAAACCAAAACGTTTTACTGTACCTATCAACATTAGTAAACAACTGCAAAAATATGCACTTAATAATGTTATAATAAATAATTGGAAGATTATATTCACTTGATGTTGCTTGCTTGTATCTTCCCATTGTTATTTAGGACTGTAATTGATCAGTTTGTTGTTGGCATATGTGCATCCTGTGTAGACTGCCTCGATATTGTCTGAAATCCATCTTTGCTTATAAAGCTTGCGAATTGAGGCAATATCAAAGCAGTCTGCACAGGATGCACACTTGCCAACAACAGACTGATTAATTGAAGTCCTAAATAACAATCGGAAGATACAAGTAAACAACACCAAGTGAATATAACTTCACCCCATTGCACAAGTAGGCAGCTATTAGGACTCAATAGCTAAGTGGATAACGCGATGACATTTGAAGCAAATGGTACTAGGTTCTAGTCCCAGAGTGGACATCATCTCTGAAATGTAAGTATATCCAGCTGACGCGTTTCAAATAGGACGAAACGCGCGTACTGGATTCCACTGCTAGTCACTATCTATCTTTGTTTATAAAATTAGAGGATTGTTTAACAAATCAGGACTGATGAGATAAATCTGCGTCAGGAGTGTATCTGATTGAATTAAGGTGAAAAGTGACAGTAAGTTATACGAAATAATAAGAGAGTAATCCTTAAATTGTAAGCTAGTTGACAAATGTTGGTGTTTCTTCTGAATCCCTAATTTTAGAGGGTCGTTTAGCAGTGCTAAAGCTGTGTCATTAGAAGTCAAAGATAATCGTTAAATTATTTTTAATTGCTACTTAAGATGACAAGCTATCTAAATGATATTAGTTGTAGAAATCACAAGTAATCAACAACTACGGCTTTTAGGTTCTCTATTAACTTTACAAAGATATAGCCATATTTATTTAAGCTCATGCTATAATTATTAGTATCGTCGTAAAAAGGATAAGGATAAAATGTGAACCGGCTTGCAGACATCTCCTACAACGGACTAGTAAACCACCATCTTGACTCATGTGTTAAGGCATACTGTTCAAAATAAATAAGTGAAAAGTAAGGCTAAATAAACAAGTATTTTGTGATTGAATACCACTAAGGAACTTGGACATATCTAATCCATGTTTTTGGTTGAGAAATTTTAGAAAAAATATCCACTCATTGACATTTTCCAACCTAAAGCATACTCCATTAGTAAAGAATGAGAAATTAGGGAGCGCGATCTTTGAACTGACCAAGTTAGTATACCAAACAAGCTCATCTGTTAAAAATAGCCAGTATTAATTAGAGTTGACTTTATAGTCAAATCAATAAAAATGAACAGTAAACATTCAAGAAGGTAATGAGTATAACAACTCTTCTTCAGCATAACTTACTTTCCAAGTTTCGGAATTGTAAATTGCTAAGTCGATTGGTTTGACGCCACTAATACATTGATGATTAATATCTGCCCCAGACATAAGTAAGAATTTCACCACTCTTGTATGATTTCCTGTAAAATAAATTTAATAATATGTTGTAAATACAATACAACTGTCCTACCTTTAGCGGCCATATGTAATGGTGTAGTTCCATTGGAATCCCATATATTTACATTCGCTTTATTAGCGACAAGAAGTTTCACTGATTCATAACTTCCATCTATTATTTAATTTTAGATATATTTTTTGAAGAGAAAAATAAATAAAGAATTACGAAATGTTAAACATGTTTACTTGCGGCTGCATAGTGTAATGCTGTTTTACCAAAACCATCAATAAAGTTTATATTCACTCCATTTGCAATAGATTTGCTTACAGCTTTTATATCAGCATGACGTGCTGCTTTACATAAATTTAATTCATTTGGAAAACCCCATGGAATAAATGGATCGAATGATTTTTGTTCTGATACTGATTCAGCAGTTTCTGTCATGTTTTCATAGGTAAAACAAATACACAAATTGCATGGTGTTATCTAAAGTACATGAGGAAATAATTCAGTCATGAGGATCGAATGATTATTATTATTATTATTATTAATATGAATGACCAAATACTAATCAGGCAGTTTGTAAAGATCCAATGAATAATTATAAAACAATTTCTTTTTCAAGGCCTATAAACCGGCAATAGCTAGTAGACATTGTTAAACTGTATTATCATGCTAACTTGGAAGTTCTACTAAGAAAATCTCTCGTTTACGTTGTATTGTGATATGGTTCTGTTGGAATTTCAGGTGGTGGTTGGATTGTTTGACCATTATACTCCATTAGAACGCGTAGTACATTCATTTCAAGTGAAGCACACAATAAACTGACTTAGTAGTTAGTGTGTACTCTTAGAAGCCAATAGTAAACAGTTGATAAGAACCGTTACAAAGTCGATGATAAAAAATATCCCTCTAGAACTATATATTATGTTACTTAATTCATGTCCATCAAAGTTATTCACATCTTTTCAAACCATAACTTAAAATAATCCTGATTTAATTATAAGCGGAAAACGTGTTTCTATCTCAGGATAAATTTTACAAAAAGCGGGATATTTCAATTTTTCGATAAAATATTTTCCTTTTTAGATACTTCACTATATTCAACTTTTGTACTCCATTTCGAAATATCAAACAAAGTTGTGTTATTATTACTGCACAAAATGCATGTTGTGCAGATTTATTTCTCTGTATAATACACTCGTTAGTTTCAGAAAAACTCTATGCATATCACAATAAATAATACGTTGCTTTGGAATACATGAATTATCACTTGAACCTCAAATAGCAATTTTGAGGTGGACAATAAGTGAGTGGTGAGCATAAAGCCTGGAATGTATTAGACTATAATGATATACTTTTGTTGGAGTTTCCGGAATTCTCTCAGTACTGGGACTCAAATTTGAATTAACAAATCGTAATAAACGATTACCCTCATATAAACGTTCAATTATCAATTAGTCAAAAACCATCTGTCGTGAAAAAATTACTACGGCATTACATAAGCAGCGAATTAGATATGACCAAAACATAACTGAAGAATCCATAATATATAAAAATGATTGATTACTGAAATTCATATTGTGAAGGAATATAAGTATCTTTGACTTCAACAAAAGTTCCAATGCCAAATTGAAGACATGATACTTTTTAATGGACGGACTATTTCAGCAGTCGTTTGGTCTAATTGAGCAGACTTGAGACACCATAAATTCGTTGATTACATATATGTATATGAATGTCAATAAAAAAGATGATATGGTCAACCAAATCAGTGCGTGGAACACACTTATAAAGAATGTAGTGAATCAATTTTGCGTCATTTGATTAACATAAAGTCAGGTTACATAAATCATTAACTATGGCCATATGAAGTGGATGGAGAGTTATAAAAATAAATGTGCTCTAGTTACGGAAGATATATTGGACATGGGATGTGGTGTCGTGTAGATTCCTTGTAAACGGCTAATTAAAACAAGAATTTTAATAAGACAGATACGTTTTTACAGAGATTTATTTTTGAAGAAGAATGTCACATTTACAGTGTCAGAAATCTGAATAGTGTTTTAATTTTCAGCAAAATTAATGAAATGGTCAAGTTAGTTAATGTATCACTTGTAACGCACTCGAGAAACTAGATAACAGAAATTTATTTAGATAGGTTTTTGACTGCTTATTGTGTGATAAAGAACGTATGAACTTAGTGATATATTTACGTCACTAATAGGCAAAATTTTTAGTGGAGTAAATATACGAAATTGAAAGCGTTAGAAGTGATACAAAAGAAACTGTAATAGCCCATTAAAACCTTGAAAAGGACCGATTATTCTCTTCAACTTTATAGTGAATCTTTGTACAATATTGCTTGTTATCACCATTTTTTATATCAAAGAGCAAGGTATATTTTACAGGTATCCCTGTATCTTCTATGTCGAGAAGCAGTTTGGTTCCAATAAATGTGTTGAATATTGTCAGAGAAAACATAATAAACAATGAAAAAGTTGCTGTCTGTCTTTAAAACAGTTGAGAGATTAACATCCTATCAGTTTACACGGTTAAAACGTTATGTTTTATATTCTTTGGCAATTGAAGCTTCACACTGGGGTGCAGTTACTAATAGGAGACTATAACATCTTAGATATCTTAAATTTCCGGCTAGCCCTAGTTGGTATAGAGTTGTATTTAAGTCAAACAGTAGTTTGACCCATGCTCTGTAAAAGTAAACCTAGAATTGTTTTCCAAAAATATCACGACTTATGTTGACTGAATTATTCTCAAAGAATTCTTGATTTGTAACATTCACTACAGTTACTAGATCTACAAACGGTTACTCGAGTTACTCAAAGATTAAAGCGTACGTAAGTTTGAGTCGTAAACAAATGTACACGAAGCAATGTATATTTTGCCTAGAATGCTTTTTCGAAGGTGATATGAAAAGAATGAGTGCACCATGGTGTTTAAAAGTCTGGAGTTTAGAATTCTTTTGATATTGATAACAATTTTTACTGCCATTGACACCATAAATGAAACGTTTGATAAACAGCTGGTGAGTGTGTTGAATACAAAGATGTTTAAAAGTAATAGAATCATAAAATAAATTCAGACTAGGGCGCAAATCTAAGATATCTTAAATTTTTTTAAGGCTTATGCGCGACAGATTAAAAGAAAAAGTGAACTGAGGATCCTCTGAAGCCAAAAAGGCTGTCCGGCTTTATAATGAGCAAATGTCATTCGTTATTCGATTACACGACAGTAATTTAATTGTCAATAGCAAAACGCCAGTTAATCGTGGTGTAAAGAAACATGATATGGCTTGTAGGGATACTAGGTTCACATCATTTAAACCCAACAACTTAATACTCGTCAAAAAAGATCCCGAACTGATTACAGAGATAGGAGGAGACGGTAAACTTAAATTTCGTTCTTAAGTTTGTACCGTATGTCTTTCTACAGAATCATTGCCCTCGAATGACGTAATTATATTTCTGTGTTCAGTAGTTAGTCATGAGCATATGCTACTAGACATTAGTGACTTATCATTTAATTTTACTGCTGTCAACATAGTTAGCCAGGTCATAGTGTCCTTAATACACACATGATCGTAAGTAAAAGTTACATCCTTACGTTTTCTTCACTAAGATAATAATATCTTATTTAATAATCAATTTCAGCCTACATCTAAAAAGTTGGCAATTATTTTAGAATTCCAGTGACAGAAATACTGCTTCTCACTGACAACATTGTAGCTGCAGAAGTAAAGGGTGTTAGTTTCGAGACGCCCATCAGTGGGTAAATCTTAGGAAAATCTTCACTATTAACTCCGGGGTTGTAAGAAAGGTTGGTAATTTGATGCGTTGTCGCATGTATTTACACCAATTCTCTAAGGATTTCCCCCAGAGTTTCTCCGAAGTTCGCCTTTATTTCTCCTTCTTTGATTGCTTGAAATAACTTAAAAATTAGAATCACAAGCAGTGAAAATGATAAACGTGAGCGTTATCTTCAATCTTCTATATATTTTTGACTCTGGCCTGAAAGTACTTTTTATGTCGGGGAATGTAAAAAGCAGTGTATGTGAAATTTTCTCAAATGAAAAAGAGCAAGGAAAAACGTTGACGATCCAGAACTCACACATAACAATGAATCGATAGGCAGCAATTAGTAGTTGCACAACAGTAAGATAAAGGTAACACGACAATAATAGAATTGCTGGATTAAGATGGTAAGTTATATATACGTAACACTCTGCCTTTGGTGGGTTTGAGCCTAATATAATGATATTGTGTGTGCTCGAGGAGTTTGAGAGGCAGAAAGTGAAATTTTCTAGAAGAGAAAGACCAAATGTTTTCCTCTTAAGAGAAAACATGAGCCAATGACTCACTAAGCAGATAGAACGCACTTACATCTGATAGCGGAAGCAATTAATGACAATCAGAAGTGACACGGACGATAGATTAAGACAATATGATAATCGAGACCAAAAGTTGATGGTGTAATGTTTCAAACGTGTTACATCCAGTTTATTTGCACAACCCGGTGCAGCTGTAGTCATGGTTAAGATAATTCACTATTCAATATCCACGTGAGCGGTTTGAATAAAGTATTTATTTGCCTTCTATTCTCTCTTGTTGTTTCCGTATGACTCAAGTTTCTAAAAATGCTCAACTGGCTGTTGTCTGTCGACATGAATGCACTTATTCCAATCATTTTGGTAGTTATGCGTGCGCTTTGTATATCTTGTAGTCTGAGAAGGTACGTTTATATCCATTATATATAGAGTACTCAAAATCTCAACGAAGTAAGATTTGCAAAACCAGAAAATATACCACCAATATGCATGTGATTGGTTGGTCTGAGTCAAAAAAATAATAGAGAAATTTGAATACCAATAGAATACGATTGTTTCATGAGACAAATAAATGAGTCAGCTAATCAGTAATGCAGACTTTATCAGTGGATTGAACTGTACGAACAAGAGAAAGATTAGAGATGCTAGCAGGTGAGGAAAATTAATTTGATGGTACGCAGTAATGATAACTGTATATAGATTACGACATATGAAAGTAGTCGAGGCCGGAGATATCAAGCTTCGATTGCCATGGCTAGGAGGACATTCTGGGAGGGAAGAACTATTAGTGAGAAAACTTATCAGCAGTCTGGTTCTCACATCTTGATGTTGTCTCGAGGAGCATGGGAGTGGTGTTGGTATTTGTGCCGAAATAACATAGCGTACTTGTAACGTTGTGCATCTTTTATTCCTCTGTACCTCAGCTGAGATAATCAAAAGTGTCCGAGTCTATATTCGTAAGATTTGTTCTTTTGCCTCTTCACACACTTAGTAACCTATCTCCTGCTTCGTCTGGGATATTCATATCTCTTCCGAAGGAAGGAGCGTGAAAAAATTGTGAACTACGAGGCAGAACTTTGAAAACGTTTTAAAGTAATGAAAACAATTTTGATGTGATTGTGCCAAGTTGTCATCTTATAAATTGAGAATTGTAATTGTTACGACAGAATCATGAATGTATTTTAAGTGAATGGCTATGTTCTTTGTGGTCACCAGTCTTAGACCACGCTCTGAGGAGCTAATCGGAAGAGGTTTTAAAAGAGGATCGAAGCTATATGAATGTTTTTAAGACCACCAGTCAGGACTAGATTCGAGCTTGTAGATTCCTGGTTTAATCGATCGGTGAACTTAGTATCAACGAATTCAGTCATCTCTAGTTTAGTAGAATCTTTGCCGCTCGGTCTTTTGAGAGCTTCCACTCTCAGTTTGCAGTTTTCCATTTTTTTCGTGAACATACAGAGATATTTTTGTGAGTAACTAATACATTTCGCTCAAATGACGATGAGGAAGATGGTTAGTCGCGAATGAATACTCAGTGCATTATCAACGGTCAGTATAACCCATTTAACGGAAAAACTGAATAACAACTGGCTTACTGTTATTGAACGCCAACACCTATTTACAGACCCGAAAAATTCTCAGTCTAACGGTTTGACAGAAAATTTCTTTCCATCTCTAATGAGAGCTGTGAGATCTTTGAAACCATGTTATCTAAAAGAGCCAGAAAAGCGCATCGATTATTTATTGCTTCAATATTGTAATGGCGAGCGTTCAAGAAGTCACGACAGTCAATCTAAACTCATTAAATATCTTATACTTCGAACTCATTTTGAAAAAAAGGCATCATCAGAAGTGCAGTTTTATATAGGAAATGATTATCAACCATCTACGGGATTATAATTTATATAATGAGTAGTCAGATGGTAAAAAGTCTTGATTTATACCACCATTCAGTTCAGCGCATAGATTGAGTGTAGGTTCATGAAGTAAGTGTTCTCAGTTTTAATTCTGACCATTCTCGAAATAATTTTTACTCTACAAACAATTCTGAACTTCAGATAGATAGTTCCAATTTTCATTCTAATGATTTCCATGTCACTAGTGACTCTTTAGATAATTCAGAATTCAAGACATACAAGGAATATGAAAATCAGGTTGCTAAACAAAGTGAAATATCCGACAGAATTGCAAATAGACCCAAACTACATTATAAATATATAGACTGACAATCAACATGTGAATTGTGTGGCGAATAATCAACACTCTTATTGTTCATTTAAAAATTTATGTAATATTTAAATGTTTCATGAAAATACAGTACAACCCCATACTGTTTACTTGGAATGTGCGTTCTTGATTGTGTTTTGTTGAAGTTCTAGACTCATTAATATAAGTTCTTTTTAGTTATATTATTTCAAATTCTAAGGTCTTTTCGTTCAACGTTTAATGCATCTGCTAGTTCTGAAACTTTTTCCTTTCACTCTAAACTTTGATGTTCCATCTACTTCTCAACGCCATGTGAGAGGTACGTTGTGTTGGACGGCTACCTTGATAAAATACCTCACCAACTCACAGCGGTCAGCCTTGTTGGGCCCACCTTTCTTGTGGCGAAGGGACTTGCTAAAGATTCCCGTCATAGATGTTCAGTCCCTCCTGTAGTTGCATCCCTCTGAAGTGCCTCATTTGTGACTACGTTAGATATGAATGTTCTGTAGTCACTACTCTAATAGATGCTCCCAAATGTATGTCGTCAATCAGAAGGTGGCTGCATGACGGTATATATTCAAAATTTCTACGTTTTTTCGTCCATACCCAACTTGGGTCGTCACCCACATGTACAGACAATCCCGAAATCCAAATAGTACAGGCATATTATGTACAAAACCACATTGTAGATGATGTTTCCTGTTTGTTGAGATAACGAGACAGATTGTCTGTAGTGACGTGTTTCCTTCAATTAAATTTATGAAAAACGGAGTTTAAACAAAACTGGGTGCGTGTTTTTACAGTGAATAAGCATTATTATTTTTCGAAAAAGTGAATAATTACCTAGCGTGAATTATAAATCACGACTATTACAATAGCAATTTGTTTGTCATAAACTCTATTGCATTTTTATAGCTATTATTTCCCAGCCTAAGTTGGGTATAATTAGTTTGATGGAGTCTGTAGAGATTGCAGTATTTTTATAATATCAAGCATTATCTGATCTTAGCTAAACCACATTTGAAAACTGGAAAGCAACAGACATCTATTTTGTCATGTTGTGGGACTTCTCGGCAGTGCCCAATCACGACCTCAGTACAAGTCCAGAACCTTCAATCTCGCATGCCTATGCTCAACCTCTAAACTACTGACTTAGCACTCATCACTGTAAATACCCATTTTTAAATGTTCATACGCAAGACCGAAGGCATGTTTAACTTATTTAAGAAACACAAGACTTACGTTTCAATTATGGGACAATCGGTCTATGAGTATGGCCTATCATGATGAGCACTAATCATTGAGTAATCTCGAAAAGTGTCACAACATCGGCGAGAAACCCGTCGAAGAGGACGTTGTGAACAAAACAAGGCCTAAAATGCTAGGTTCAAAGAAAAGAAAAAAGCTTAGTATGACCGTCAGAAAACGTGGAGCTGCCGAAGCACCTACTAAAGTAGTGGAATCCGACACGATAGGCGTCTGAATTTTCTGGTGGCCCCAAAGCTTCTTGGAGGTCTGCAAGTGAAGAGATGTGTTTTGACGGTTGGCGAAAATTTTGTGACGTACAGCTCTCAAGTTACCTATCTATAATTCATGGACGAGCCAATCAAAAGCGCGTGATGAATTTCAGGATCACGTCTCTAAGCTCAGCGCCTGGTGCTCACGTACAATCGGTTCACAGCGAATTTAGAGAAGACATTATAATTGAGAGGCCACAACAAATGGGACTACTAAAAAGTTCCTTCATTTGTGATCGGGGTAATCAGATGACTTATGGACGTTGTGCAGACTACCATGATGATGTCCTTCGATGCAACATATGTTAGAAGAAGTCTGCTAGAACAGGATCTTTTTTCTATCAGTTCAGATAGACTAAGGCAAATTATAATAATTGCTACGAACTGTATAACAAAAACAACAGTAGCATTGGCTGTAACAGATTTTACTGAAGCTTCGGCTGTTCAGTGGTATGAGTATTGTAGTGATATATGCGTAATAAAAATGAAAAGCTTACACAACTGGAGTGCATACAAACAAAACTGGGGCTGTGTGGTCGAGACAGAAAGAGATTTGGCGACCTTATCTTGGCTCTAGAAGCCCACTATTATGGAGCTATATGGATGAGTTCTTATATCACATGCATTACAATTTTAGAACCTCTGAACCTCTTTCTAACCTTGAAAAATGTATCCACTGTAATTATTTGGTTTTGTGTAATATATTACTACCCTATGCTAACTGTTTTTTGATTGGCTGATATTTCTCAAGGTCACTTAACATTCGTTCAAAAGTCGTCCATAAGTTAGTCTCGCCCCTATCTATCATTAAAAGACTAAAGGGCACATCGAAATATGATCTGGCAGGGCGTTTGATCGGACAACATTTAGTGGAGTACCAACAAAAACCAAACTGTTCAATGTTAATTTTAAGTTATCACAAGCTATCCATTTTGCAAAATTGTCCACCTATGTGTTTTGTACTCTAAGAAACAACTAAATCAAACACCTAATTAATGGGTTTGGCCTCAAACAATGTAAGGAGCAAAGTCAAATAACATCTGGGTTAGTAAGTGTTGAAAAAGCTATGAAACGCAGACCTGGCAAGTCAATCGACTTTGACAACAAAAACGCGATTACCCTAAGTACTTGATATATGTAGACCGCCAGCAAAAATGGTTGTATATTTCGAAATTCCTAAGATTATAAGCAGCTCTCATTCGATATGATATCATCTGATTTTGATCACTGAACTAAACATGACAACGGCATGATAACAGCAGAACAACCCAATAAAATACATCCAAGTGTCTAGTTGATCTCGACAAATCAGACGGAATATGGGACATTGAGAGACAGTCCCGTTAATAGGACAAGCTGCACAGGCGAAAAACTTGTAGCGGATAGTTCCCACAGAAATAGCTAACTTTTTTATAACATTAATCAATTTGTAACCTTATAAACAGATGTTGCTGTAGAGGAGTAACAATTTTAAT